GCATGTGTCGCCTAGATACTGAGGCGTTCTCTTATGGTGCAACCTGCTAACCTTTTGAAGGAATTTCATTTTGACCTCTTATATCCCCTGGTATCCACTGATGACTCTGGCTTATGGGCAATTCAGTCTTTCTCTGTATTTCTCTGTCATATGCTTCCTCCCAAAAATGTAATTCAGAAAAATGTATCATTACATTCAGATACATTTTAGACACCAAGGTCACCCATTGCTTCCACAGTATTGTGTTTTTCAAATGCCCATATCTTGGGATATGAACTACTTGTAATATTGGTTCAAAACACTTAAACACTGTTTTTATTCCTTAATCAAAATCTAAAAGGTTTTTGTCACTGGCTTCAAAGTTTTCATTCCTTGCAACGATTCCACTCACTTTCCGACCGTTGTACTGCATCCTGTGAGGCCAGCCAGGCTTTAAATAAACATTGGCAGCCAGTTTTGGTCTCTATGGCAACACGTGTGCCTGCTGAAGAGTCAGCATTGAAGATTTGTTGGAAAAAGGTGCTGATGTTATTATTAAGCATTTCCATTATTAGAAACGGCAATGGCACCACCCATAATCTAAAAAAAGGGTTTTATTTTTGCTGAGAACACTTGTTCTCATGAGATGTGTTGGATTTACATTATGAAACAGAAAAGCTTAACACATGGGTTAGATCATTTAGGGATTGTAGCCTTAAAGACGTCACAATTACTGCAATCAAGAATCTAAAATGAGCTGTATAATTTGAAGTTGGGTGAAAATTTGAGGTTTTCTGGCGGTTGGCAGACTGTCTGTGAAATCTAGGCCAGTTAGTGTTTCATCTCTGAGCGTGTGTGTAAATACTTCTCCTATCTGGACCAGTTTTTTTCATTTCCAATTGAGTCAAACGCGTTGCATCATTGAGACCAGAGCTCATTTTTCAACTCTAATAGATAAAGTCTACTTTTAGACTTTGTTTATTAAAACCTAAACCTAAAGGTGGTTTTCTCAGTGGAAAGTTTGTTAAAGCTCATCTTTTGCATCTTATTTCTTATACATTATATATGTTTTTTGGCATATTTTTCTGAACAAAATTAGTTTCTACAGTTACTGTTTGATTGGATTAAACCACAGGTAAACAGGGCTTCTGATGGTAGACCGATTTACAAAAAATGATTTGGATGTTTTCTTGTATCTAGTGTATCATAATTCGAAATAATTTAATCTGGTAAAACACCTGGAATTTAGTACTGTGATTTAGCAGCAAACGGGTTTCAATATGTATTTTTCATTCATGAACATATTAATTCAATATAATTAAGATGGTATGTTTACAAACATTTAATACAAATGTATTTCTATTGCACAATTCGTACGGGCGCATTTAAAAGTGCTTTACAATACACTCAACAAATGGTGTTTAAAACACCATGCAACAATGTTAAAATCACAAAACTGAACCACAAAAGTAAGGATTTTAAGTAAGTAATTAATTATTATAATTATTAAAAGTACATTTTTACTTTTAATAATTATATACTGTAAAGTGATCACTGCAATGTGCATTGAATGTAACATGCACGAGCCCAGTTCTCCTCCTGCATGCTCGTTTACAAGTCACTGTCAGCATTGCTCATACAAGCTCAATTTCCAAAAAGATTTGTACTTTTTCCACTAAGTCAGACAATATAGACGTAGATAACTTTTACTGGAAGTGATTTGAAATGGATTTCTCCAAATAGAATGCCAAACTTTACCTTTCAGCGCACGCCATCGTGGCTTTATGTCACATATCACCAGAATGATTGACAATTAGGAGGACCAATAGTCTTGATGATCCACCCGGAAAAGGGAAAATCCTCCTATATACCTTTTAATATGGGCGACGTATCCATAATCGCAGTATCGCCCTATCATGATAATGTTGTGTACCATGTATGACATATTATATCGTATCATCAGGGACCTAGAGATTCCCAGACCTAATGGTGACAGGCCTAGATGAAACACATTAAGGGCACGGTCACATAGGTTTTTACCTTCAAACTAGGTCAAGTGGCCCAGATTGTCGCCACAGGGGTGTGAAGACGGCCCGCGGCCACAAGGGTTTATTCTCTCAAGCGTGCCAGACCAAATGCGCTGTAGTTCAACGCTCGGTCCAGCTGGTGGCACTAATACTAACTCCAGCGACTACCTCGTTGTCCGAGTTAAGTTTCCGTTTCTCTTCCTGTTTACATTCTGCTACTATAGCGCTAACAGCTCGAGCACGAAACACACTGTTTGCATCAGAGAGTGTGAGATTTGTCTTTCTCCAAAGTGCAGCAGCTCAGTGGGACACGTGTGTGTGTGCATGTGCACGGGCGTGCCGCGGACACGGGAGCGTTCTTTGGAGTAAAGGGCATAAGCTCTGAGACATGAACGAATGAGAATGAAAGAGTGAAAAGTGTGGAGTACGAGCAGAGCGACTGGAGCCAGGTAGGATACAACTGGGCTTTAGGCTGTGCATGTGACTACAGCCTAAAACAACAAAAAATGTTTGAGTATTGTCAAATTTGATGACAACATTCAGCATTTTTGTAGTTTTTTCAATTGAGTCAGGTGCATTGGTTGCTCTCTGTGGGGTTACTTCTGTTCGTTATGACAGAGTAGGGGTGTGCTGTCCAGAGATCTGGGCCAGCCTGGAGAATAACCGGGAATCGGGGTCATTGGGGTTGAGAAATCCAATTCAACCTGTCAGTAACTTAAAGCTCCCCATGACCCTGTGTCTCTAACTCCTCCGTCACCTGGTAAACTGCTGCTCACTCCAGGAAGTGTTGGATTGGTCTGGCCTCTGTAATCAATCCGCTCAAGCATGCCCAACCTTTGTTTCTCTATTTCCCCGTTCACTTGTCTAAATATTTCTCAAATCCACCCTTGAGCTGGATTTGTCAGAAGGGATTGTGTGCTTTCAATCCAACACTGATGGCTGAGCGTACTCCATTTTCACTTTTCTTTTTGAAAGTTTTAGGTAATGTGAGCCATATGGTCTGTTGCCCCTTCTGAATATTCGGACACTTTTTATTGTTAGGGATCTGTTGCCCCAGCTGGATGACCTTTGACATACTGTACTTTGTGAAATGAAGTTGCTGTCTGTTCTCGTCTTTGTCGTCCCATCACTGGGAAAAGAGATGCTGCCGAGTCAGCCCTGTTGACTACTGCAGACAAGCTCTGGAGGTCAAAGTGTCCAGGCTTTTTAACACTCAATGGCGCTGGTTCAGGGTGCAGCCACTCCCACTGTGTGTAGCATTGCCTCTGCCCGCTGTGTCATTTACTTTAGAGACTGCTTTGGCCAGGCAGAGAACGTTATATGTAACAGGAGTCTTTGTGAACCTGGCTCAGGCAGGTAATACAATCGTACTTCCTCTTCTCACCTCATGCACAGGCTGTTTGGGTCATGTTTCAGGGAGAAGGGGAGGAGACTTCGACTAAATATATGCACGGACATCAAGGCTTCAAGGGGAAAACAAATGAGGGCTTAACCATGGTTAAACATGGCGTCATCAGCATTTCCCCGTCTGCATGCTTGCAACAAACACGTGTTTCTGAAGATCCAAGGAGACATTAAAACCAACTCTACATTCATCTCACTACATTCTCTTCTTTAGTATTTCTTTTTAGGGCTGCAAATGATTGTTGCGCTAATGAAATAATCTAAATGATTGTTCTAGGGCTGCACAATATTGGAAATTAGAGCGATATTTGATATGAGTGTTTAGTATTGCGATAACGATATTATTGCGATATTTTTGTCTGTCACCTAAAATTGCAATCTGCATTGAAACGCAAGAGACAAATAACAAAAAATGAGCACATTAATGACCTTCAAATGCATGTATTTATATACTTTTTTGTTTGTTGAATGTTGATAGTAGTGTAGTAGTAGTAGTAGTGTCTGTTTTGTTGTCATTAATAAAGAAAAAATAATAATTCTTTTTTTTTATTACGCATCTTCTTGATATGGATATTGTACGCACCAATATCGCAAAAACAATATTTTTTTGTGATTCATTCATCAATCACTTGAAAGGAAATATACAATATATACTTTTTATTTATACTCTATGTGTTGGAATCTTTATGGAGCAGTTAAAATTATTCAATAACTAGAGCAGTTGATGATTATTGAAAATAGTGGATTAGTTACCAATTTACCATTTTGAATCTAAACCCTTTTCCAAGGTTAAGTTTTGTATTATGTATTTTCTTTAGCTTAAAATATATTAACTTTAAAAAGTTATTTTTAAAAATGAGTTTGTTTGGGGCATGTCCCACCAATCAAAGGCCCTGGGGCAGTTCCAGGACACACTGGGGAGATAGTGTCTCTTTGCTGGCTTAAGAAGGCCTTGGCATTTCCCTGGATGAGCTGAAGGAAGTGTCTGGACTGCGGAATGTTTAGGGGGCCCACTCAGAGTGCTGTCATTGTGACCTGGCGTCGATAAAAAAGATGGATTGATTAGTACTGTAACTTAAAAGAAAAAAAATTCAAAACTTTTTCAAGCGATTATTTGATTAGCATTGGTGAAAGTTATACTACACTTTCACCAATGTAACCTTGATTGATTGCTCTCTCTGACTGTAAAAGTATTTCGTAAGACGCATTTGAGTCTGTACTGTGCTAATAATGTTGAATTAAGATCAACTTTATTGATCTCACAATGGAGAAATTTACAATGATCAAAATCCAACTCACTGATTGGATAATCGATCATATAGAGTGCGAATGATAAATTATCCTGGTATATCTACTGCAATAGACAAATGAGGGTTCTCTCTTTGTGTACAGCTATCTTATGTATTTTTAGTGTTATTCCATGATGCTATTTAGTACTAGTGGTTATCTATTCAAGTTTCAGCTTTATGTTTCAAGACATCTCACCCCAACAAGAGCAGCCACATGGCAAACAGAGAATAGGAATGTATTTTTGTAATAACTTTCTGCTTTCTGCTTTTTGACAGTGGGAAACATCGAGCACAAACAAACATGGATGAGCTTCAGGATGTCCAGCTGACTGAGATCAAGCCCCTGCTGGCCAATAAGGTAAACTGCAACAGGTGACAGAGAATACTCCGAGATGATGAAGATTCAGAGTAGAACAGCACAGAACCCCTGTACAATTGCAAAGCATGTACCACGCACTGATTCTTACATGGTACTTTTCCAGGCTAATGCTTTGCATACATAGAATAATATACAGTACAAGGAAGTCCAACCCAACTGCACCATTCATCACAGTGAATTATTAATAACATAGCAGTAGACACGGAGTATGCAGTGGTTGAAAAAAAAAAACACAGTGAATTGTGAGGGAATGTATTGGTATTGGAGTGAGACAGGGAAACAATGATGGGGTAATAAAGCCGGATCAAGCGAAATAGAATCTTGTCTCTTTGTCCAAATGACGTGGAAATCCGGAGAGGAGAGAAGCATCTCCCAGAAAGATCAAAGCATCATCTCCCGCTCCATCTCAGCGGCTGATTAGGAAACTGGGGCTGTCAGGCGAGAGCGAGCGTTCTGTTCTTCCCAGTGCATCTTTCACAGACTTCTTTTCACCACACAGAACGAAAATCAACTCCTTCTATTGTTGCCGAGCCTCGTGGGAGTGTAAATGTGACACTATACGAGGGAGCACAGGCGAAACAAGAGGAGAACTTTAATGACTTTTTACTCCCTCTAGTGGCTTCCTGATTATAAAGTCCAAGGCAAAGGGAGTCTACGTGAAAAAGAAAAACCAGGATGCATTGAGAAAGCGCAGCAGTCATGGTAGAGAGTAAGTTAATCCTGTGACGCAGCAGCCCTGAAAAACAAGCTGCACCGGCTGCAGCAGCATTGTAACCATGACAACTGTAATGATCAGACCAGCAATTACATCAGCCTTCAGTAGGGGTTATCAGCGGGACATTATAGTCTGAGTTACTGTAAAACATAAAACAAATAAAATGACTAAAAGTGTGCCATTTTATTTTTCATGATCATTTAGAAAATAATTATCTTCAAATTAAGAAAATATGATTTCCTAATTGTCTTTTCGTTGTTTTTTTTTTCAGAATGGGCGCAACTTCCAGGATTTTGACTGCCAGGTAATTGTTTTGGCTGTGTACCCTCTCTTTTTAATCTTTTAAATGGAAACCGCTGTGATCTTAGGTAAACTACACTGTGCCAATAGTTTCTGGGCAGTTCCGTGCAAATTGGTAACTCTGTGTTTTAGTGTTGTGATTTTGTTTATTTTAAACATAGATTTCAATACATTTCAACAGAAAGAATAGAGAAGACGATCCAAATATAGCATACAAGATTCAGATGTCTTTATGTTGGCTCGACATGACATTATGCTCGAGGCTTTTAGTTGTCTATGTACAGCTATATTACTTGTGAAATGGGGAGATGGTCAGCTGTATTAAGTGGGAACAGGCTGTGTGCGAAATGCCACAAAGATTGTTCCTGTTCAAAAACCTGCAACATTTTCTGCGCACCTCAGACTCCAGCGAATGCCCAAAATAACCCGCCATTTTTAACTCTGTACATTTTTTTTGTAGCTATATTTTTGTAGTGGTGATGCCGTTCCCTTACCAACGAATACGTCTATTACCACATTGACGGAATAAGATTTATACTTCAATTCTTTCATAATCGGTGGTTTTTTGTGTTTTCCTGCCGTTACCTAATTTTATCCCAAACGTCCTGGCCACAAGGGGTTAACGCTTTCATCCCCGTCTCACTTTCTACAGTCACCGCCAGCATCCAGCAGAGCTAAATATAGACTCTGCAGGAGAAAGTAAGCATGTCGCCCTCCTCGGAGCATACACCGGCTGCAGCTTGTGTCTCTCTGCATTGTCCGGGACACGCTTTCGGTCCACACGCCGCCTCATTTAAGCCGCTTACGTTTAAAAAAAGGATTTTCTGTATTTTCATCCCAGAGTGTTTCATGTCGCGACTAGCCTGCACCACATTAAGTGGGTCATCTCTGTTTACACTATTGCTTTCAAACTCGCGAGCAGAGGAGGGAAACTGCGAAAAGGAAAATGTTAAATGCCCTGGTAGAATCCATCCCATTGTCTTCCCCTTTATCCGTGGCTGGGCTGCAGTGTGCAAGAATCTTTCAACACATTTGCTTTCTTTAAGTGTTCTTTGTTTGGGGCTATTGGTCCCAGCTGGGCGTGTGCTCTGGTGACATAGTTCCAGGGCCCATGTTGAGCTTTGGCAGCAGATTGTCTATAAATGTGTCGATGTGGGGGAGGTGATCTGTAGTGGATTGTGACATTCCCGCAGCTGGAGGACAAATCCTGCCCTCTTCTCATCTGCTCCTTTAGCGCCCTCTATTGGCGGGTTGATGAAATAACAGGCATATTTTTTGTCAGTGTACGACAGAGGCGTCTCTTTTCTCTCAGCGACCCCTACTGTTTAATAACATTTATTGCAGTCATGATTTATGTCAACATGCTCAACTCGCATGACAACAACTACACTACAGTATATATATTTATAACTTTAAAATAAGTGCTTTGTATGTATTACTTTATTGCACAACACATATCTTTTGATCAGGGCTGGACTGGCCATCGGGCGTACCGGGCAATGCCCGAAGGGCCGATGCCCATATTTGGGCCGGTCTGTTTGCCTCATACAAAAAACATGTTTGTGAAAAGTGTAAATCCGTTGAGAAATGTTTGAGGGGAGCGCGCATGTCCGCGGGGCACCTGCTGTATATACTCGAACGGGATTCCACCACCTCAGCGGCCGCAGTGTTCCCGCATCCAGCGGCTCTGAGATGGACGCAGGAACCGCTCACCGGGAGCCGCTCACCGGGAGCCGCTCACAACACAACACGGTAAGCGCGTAGCCGCAACGTGACCATGTACCCAAGACCATAAACGCGCACAGGACCATGCGTGTCTTTTCGTAATTTGTGCACCCAATAAATACACCGCTGCAGAAAACAGTCCGCGTCTCCCCTCTCCTCTAAATTAAAGCTTGGGTACCTACATTTTCAATTGCATTAAAAGTTCATGTTTGAGCCCAAAAGTAAAATGTTGTGAACAGATTAAACAGATTTAGAGCCAGCCAATGGCTGACAATATGCATTTCAGAAATGTTTACCAATTCTCATCCCTGTAACAAACAATAGTATTGTCTGTGTCACCTCCCTCACTCTGAGACATGTTTATTACTCTGTTTAATGTAGACTATTGTACTTTATTTTATTGGTGAAACTGCAGACATCCTGATCCTCTACAGTATTTGCTTCCACATACTGTATAAACCAGGGGTCGGCAACCTTTAGTGCCCCTAAAGTGGCTCCTGGAGCCTTTTCAAAAATGTCTGAAAATGGAGTGTGAGGGCTATATTTTATTTCTAGTTTGAATGTGGTTTCTGTAGGAGGAAAAACATTCTTGATGTTTTTCAATGCTGCAAAAACTTGTATAAGTAATATTCAATTTTAACTGTGTGCATATGGATCCCAAAGATAAATAGAGTCGATAAGACTGGACTAAGAATGAGAATGAACATTTGCTTTCAGTCAATGAGGAAGGACTGCTTCATGTTTGTAATGAAAAGTTTTGTTGCAACAGGAGGAACAATGAAGCTTTAAACACTGTTCACTGAAAAATTAATTCATAAAGTCAGAGCACCTATTTTCAGACTTCAAATACCTTCGCAAAGACGGTGAAAGAAAAGGCCATTAAGGACATTCAGCTCCAGCAAACTTCAGCCTGTGATGGATATGAACAGACAGTGATGCAGGTGAACTATGAGCCCAAAAGCAGATTTATTTACTGTATTTACAATTGAATGAAGGTTAAACTTAAAGCAGAGTTGTCACGTGGTGCGTCATTCTCTCCAGGACACGCTGCAGTGAAAATACACATTTGATAATCATGAATGGTTTTTATGTGTTTGTAGTCTTTACTTTGTCATTTTGTAGCTAATGTAGCTAATACAGCTTCAGTCCCTGTTACCTTCATATAAGCCTTATACAACGCTGTTTTGTTTTTTATGGCTCCTTGAACCTTTTGAGTTGCCTGGGCCGCTAAGAAGGAAAAAATGCCCGGGCCGCTTTTTTGTCCCAGTCCAGCCCTGCTTTTGATACATTTTCAGCTTAGTAAAGTAATGTTTTGTAGAGATGTAGAGATCCACTGATATGTTATGTCTGGGTTTTTTTGACCAATTTTAACGTTTCAATGCTAATGCGCTTGTTAGTACGAAATGTTGGGAGGTTCCATAATGCCTTTATGGATATTGCGGGGAATATATGTATGCTTTTTGAAGAAGGGAGTAATATGGGAACATAAAGATATCCAGTATTTAATTTGGATAAGGTTTATTTTTAGCTCAAATTCTTCATCCAAGACTATTTTCATGAGTCAACTTTTTACATTATTTCTTTACAAAATGAGTACAGTTATGCTTAGATTGAAACAAAAGAGACTGCAAACTGGTTAAATCTGTAGATCTGAGAGAGATAAATAAACTAAGATTTGGCAGCATAGACTTTTATTCAGTCATTTATATTGGTCAAGTATTTACCTTATTATGATTAGTCTTTCGTTTTTATTTTAACTTTATTTATTATAATAATAAATTGCTGCATGTATGTGCGTGTTACTGCAGAATGCTTGGACACAGAATGGGATACATTTTATTGATGATGCATTATGTAATACATTTACGTCTGTTTTTGAAAGCTAGGTATAAGGATTTAATAAAAAAATATTGTTTGTCAGATGAAAATGACTTAAAAACAAATAGTATGGTTGGTTGTTTCATAAATGCAGACATTTTCTGTCAATGTAATAGCGTCGGCTCCTGAAACTTCCTTTGTGGTCACAGTTTGAATGGATGTAATTAACTGGTTTATTGAGTGTGTGGAGGGGATCAGCAAAGGTTCTTCAATATAGAACACACATAAAGCAGGTTTGAGTTGCTATTGCTAATGCTATGGGTATTGCTACAGTATAGCCAGTAGAGGGCAGTAGGACCCCCTCTGTGGTGCCTCTATTTAGTGATAGTAGTCTAAATTAAAATACTTTAAGTCTAAGTGGTATTATTGCGTAATGCAGTTATTTATGAATTATATTATTTTAATTGTTAACTTATTGTACTCAAATGACTTTATAGATTAAAAAAAAGAAAAGATTATAAGTGTCCTCCATACTGTTTTTGTGTTCTGCTCTCTCTTAATCATGTGATCATAGTTCTTAAAAGACATAGCTTATTGTCTGGTCCTTTTAATGTCATACTACTAGTCCCCCACCAGTGGCTAAGGATCAGTGGCTTTATTCCCACGTTTGTGTAGAAGTCTGCTGACTCTTCATGAGTCATTATAGCGCACAACTCAATGCACCATAGGATTTCTTTAAAAGTAAAATAGGCTTTCAAGCTTTTTATGGATCCTGCATTTCTATTGCTGACCTTTCTACATATCATTTGCTGTTGGAGTTTTGCAAAAGAAGAGACTATTGGACAAGTGCATGTTCTCAATTTTATCACATTCCATTTATTTTCCACCTGCAGTTTAAGACAATATCGGAATATGTGTGGAAAGATACAAGGGTTGGGCTGGGGATATTCAATTTGATATAACTTAAAACGATATATTTCTAAAGGAAACGTTCTGGTTCAGTAAAAAATGTATGATTTTTGCTTATCTAATTCTCTGGCCCATTCTTGTTAGAATATATTTATTTTTTTAGCACAGCACAAAAAATACCCAGTGTGCACAATAGACAAAAAGAAAACCGAAAGGGAAAAAAACAATACCAACGGCAATAGAAAACAATTGACCAAAACGTTCTCATTTAAGTCCCACCTTCTTAGGGCAGTTCTATCTGATGCTGTGGTGCTGACAAGGCAAACTTGGAGTGGTAGATCAATAAACTACGAGACTTGGATGGCCTACCGACAGAGGTCAAATGAAACTTTTGCTTTCCAATACTTTTCTCAATCATTTGAAAACCTATGTGCGTGTCGAGGCTGAAACGTGTACTCCCAGAGTCAAAAGGTCACTGATGCGGCGTGCTTCCGTCTACAATGCTAAAGCCCATTATGCTCGACACAGTCTATTCTCTATCATTTCGGGTGACCGTATAGTAAATACACGGCGCCATTTTGCTGATGCAGAGCTAAGGGCGTGCTGTCAAAGTCAGCTCGTGATGTGAGCTCAGCTGCGCTTTCGTGAATATCCTTGCTGCACCCCGTTACCCTTCCCCCTGCTATTGAGTGTTCCTCAGCCCTCCCTCTTTCTACCCACCTGACCCACCGCAATCCAATTAGAGCCGCCGTTGGATGATGTGCGGACGCGCTGAGACTACCAAGGCACAAACTGCAGTCTCACTCTCCTTCAGCCACCACCCCCTCTTTCTCTCCTCCTTCGTCTTGTCTCTCTTGTCTCTCGTCTCTTCTGCTTCCCATTCAGATTATCCACCCTCTTCTGTCTTTACCCTGCCCTCCCACCCCTCTCCCCACCTTCCTCCTCCTCCTCTGCTCGGAAGCCTTCAAAGCTGCCCAGCACACCCTTCTGGAACATAGCATAACAGTCTTTTGCCGCTGTGTGGGAAAAACATGTCAGCTGTTTTGGATTTGGACCAGCTCTCATGCTCTGGGAATGGAGTGGTGAGTGACATCCTCGTCTTGTGCTGAGGCACCTGGTTGCTTCTATTAGAAAGACAGTTGTGGTGCTTTTAAGGAACGTTTCAGCTGCTGGCTTGTAGGATCTAGGTTTTGTCAGTCAACACTTTTAGCCTGGACTTGGGAACATTTGTCTCCACAGCAGACAGATTCAACATATATGGTAGCGTGATGTTCTATAATATCACCTAGAACATTTTTGTTCTTGTTTAGAACCACAACATTCAGCACGTATAAGGAATATGTGTATGTGACACAAAGCGAGGTCATTCATGCTTACACTAAAACAATTTTGAACACAAACTCCTTTTCTGTCAATAGAACAGCTCAAGATTGAAATTGCTGTCCAATTCTTTGGCTCATCTGTGCAGCCTTGAGTGGAGAGCAGGCACCCCTTTAATGTCTCATGCATGTGTAGTTTCCAGTGTGAGCAAGTGGCTGTTTATGTCCCTCGGTCTGGCTCTGAGGTGATTGATGCAGCGCGGGACAGGGTGCGGACGACAAGGGGGAGAAGGTGGGACGGAGAATGGTATGAGGCTGTGCTCTCCATACCCCCTCGTCTCAAACTGGGGCAAAAACCACACACCAAGTGCACACAATCCGCCCAGGCACTGTTCCGTGTCCTTCCCATCTGCAGTGTCTCCTGTGCTGGGTCGCTGTAAAAAGCTGCAGTACCCTGCCCCACCCGCCTCGCTTGCTCCTGTAAAGACTATCTCTGTACATGTATTTGTAACTAGACACACGTGGAAGTGGCTCGAGGATGAGAAGAGGGAGCACATGGATCAATACAGTGGCCAAATCACGACAGGAGTCACACCACAGCAGATGCGCCATCCTTGTTTATGCTTGGTCACAGCAGGCAGCTTGAGGAGGATAAATAATTTCTATGCCCCCTTCTCTTTTAAGGCACACCCTTGTGTTAGTCATGTCCCATGTCCTCACTCAGATTTCATGCTTCAGTTACTTACTGTTTTTGGACTTCATGTGCTTTCTTATTCAGGAGAGAATACCCTGACTTTTACTGCATTGAATCTGCAGTGTCCATCCATCATATCTGAAATATTTTTTGTTTTGCTTTTTTGCTTGTTCATTGTCAAACGTCCTTGACTCTGTCCTTGTCCAAATGTTTACAATCTACAGCTGGTGCCCCTGAGCTTTTTGCTCCTTTTTACACCGGTTGTCTGGCCCCCTACCATGTCATGGGTTAGTGCAAAAAACAAAAAGGGGTCAGGATGCCTGCAGAAAGCAGTAGTAGGAGTTATCAAATTTAGGTTTTCGAGTAGTAACATGGTGGCTACGTGTAATGTTTCTCTGCTCTGTAATATTATCAGCAAGGCGTTCCCTCTGTAATGTCTGCAATTAATGCATTATTATTTTAATAAAACTCCTCAACTCAAGCAATGGTTTTATGTAGCACTTTTTTGACTTTTTTTTTAAAAATACACTTAACATTGTATTATTCATTGACTCTACACGCAGTAGTGGTAAGCCAGCACTGTCGCTACAGCTATCCTTGGGGCACACACCTGATATATTCTAGGTAATGTGGAGCAAACTGGTGTTGTGCCTAAAGACACAACACTAGTTTACACTTTACTGTCCCATTGTACCACTGTGTAATGTAAAGTATTCTCAGCGGTCTCCCATCACAGACACCATGGCCCACGCTACATAATCCCTTTGACTCAATTATAGTGTAACATCAAAATTAGTCAACGATGAATTAAATAAATTATCTATTTTAAGGGTAAGTCAATCATGATTGAGAGTTTTACAAACTCTGCCCCTCTCTCTTCTCTTCAGTTCTCTCTCTCCTTTCCTCTAGTCTCTGCTCTTCTCTCTCCCCCTTTCTCTTTTCTTCTGCTCTCCTCCTCTCCTCTCATCTCTCGTCTCCCAAGTTAATGTGGCGGTCCACACTTTGTCACGTCAAATATTTATGTAAGGGTCAGACTTTGCGTGACAAAGTAGGTAAACACTTTCTGACCCCATTTTATTAATTTTAAGCTTTATAATATACACTGTATATATATACCCAAGGTCACTTATTGATTTGTTCATATATATAAATAAAATGAAGCTTAAGAACAACATATTAGGCCCCTACAGCAGGCTCTCTGTGAATTATGGTTAGTTTTCATTGTTCGCGTTCTCAGCATATTCTGTCTCAAACCTCTTAAACTCTGAACATAAACCATGTGAGTAGTTGACAGATGCATCATTTGTAACATGAATTGAAAGCATCTTTGTGCCGACAGGAGCACGACATTGAGACGCCCCATGGTGTCCTCCATGTCACCATGAGAGGAGTACCAAAAGGCAATAGACCGGTCATCCTCACCTACCATGACATCGGCCTCAATCGTAAGCTCTCTTTAGTGTCACTTCAGACTCCGCAAGTCACTTTAATACATACCACTTCTTCTTTTTCCAGACAAGTCGTGCTTCAACACCTTGTTCAATTATGAGGACATGCAGGAGATCACACAGCACTTCGCTGTGGTCCATGTGGACGCACCTGGACAGCAGGAGGGGGCCGCCCCATTCCTCAGTGGGTATGTAGAGCAATTTTGGTACACGTTTTTTGACATTTTTTTTAATGCAGAATTAAATTTATCTTTTTTCAGAAATACTGTATGTTTATTTAAAGGGCATCAGCAATGAGGAACTGACTTTTTGGGATTTCTTTCTCTACCATTTTATCAGCCAACTTTTTCACCATATATCATGTTTGTCATATATTTAAGTTTTACGCTTTATTCTTTGATCTTTGATTACCACAAATATATTATATGTATTTTATTGTTTTACCTTAAAACCACAAAAAGTAAAGAACAAATTCTACCAAATGTAGCTAAAATTAGCTAAATGAGGATGGCTCTCTAGATCCTAACTAATATGTGGAATATAATAAAACAAGTGAATTCTGAGCTTTAAAATGGGGTATTAGATGTCTCTTTTGGCAAAGTTAAATATTGCCCAAAGGATAATATTATGGATTTTCTGACAATTGATGTGACTTAGCAATTAGATTTTAAATTTGAATCTGCATGTGTGTATTTCACATGGACGACGCACAATGACATGGACTTGCCTCCGCTCCGCTTAGGGTGCAAGAATGTCCTGCAGCAGAATATACGTAACAAAAAGAATTTCACCAACACAACATAACGAATGTCTGTGCTCAGGTTCCAGTACCCCACCATGGACGAGTTGGCCGAGATGCTGCCGTTTGTGTTGACTGAGCTAAAGTAAGTATCTCTGCTTCTCTCCATCTCTCTCAGTGACGGCTAATACATCACCGTGCGGCATAAATAAAGTATCGATTTTCCGAGCCGGCCTGACTGCATCTGTCCGCAGGTTCAACAGCGTGATTGGTATTGGCGTCGGAGCCGGGGCGTACATCCTCTCTCGCTTTGCTGTGAGTATGAAGCAGGCATTTGTACATTACACAAAAAATCTATATTTCTGGTATTATAGTCATTTAATTGTTTGTATTCATCAAACAAACAAAACGATGAACGGGATACATAACGGATAAAGATGGATTAGATTTTAAAAAATTACACGACTTTTACAGTGCCTTCTGGACTATAAGACGCACCTGTATATAAACCGCGGCACCTAAATTTGAGTCATTTTCACAATTGTTTGAGAAATAAGTTTACAAATTAAAAACACCTGAACACAAAACACATACACTCATTTAGTTTTTCTTTTTCTTTTTTGTTATATTTGAACATGTTTAATTTATCTTGTAAGTTGTAAGCCCTCGCACTAAGATACTACTTTATTTTTTTTAAGTTCTAAATGTAGGCACATGTATTCTGTTGCTTCCTCTCGGTCTGTGATTATGGTGCGCATGGAATAATGTTACGGTGGGATGTTGAACAAAACGGTAACAACAAGAAATCGACACCTGGTGGACACTGCTTCTTTCTTGCCTCGTAATTTGTTGGCTAAAGTCAATGCACACAGTGAAGCGAAAGATATCAAAAGTGACAGAGAGGAGCGACGGAGTGCCAACGTATGAATAATGAAAACAAGGAAGACAGTGGAGTGAACTGGAAATGATTCTTTCCCAGAGTCTTGTGGCTTGTGTCCTTTAAAACAGCAAAGTAGCATTCGTACGACGAGCAAAGATGGATGTTTTCTTTTCCCTATTTTCATATCCCTCTCAAAACCTCTTTCTTTAATTAATTTGCTGATTTGTTTAGGATATTGGATTTCTGGCTGAACTCTGCATTTCGTTTGGTCATATAATGCGTATACAGTCAAAGGACGGCCCGATATTTTGAAAATGTGTTGTTGTTGTGTTTACGATGGCAAGTTCAATATTGATAAGCAGTGATGGGAATAACAGCGCTGCTAACGCCGTTACTTTTTTCAGAAACGAGTAATCTAACTAATTACTTTGATAAAGCCGTTATCATTGACAACACCCCGTTACTGCATGTTACTCAAGTCGCACAATGAATATTTTTTTTAAACTTCATGATAGGACTCGTGCACGTGTTGTCATGAGAGAAGGGAGGATGACAAAACCTCTCAGCAATTAATGGCTGATGTAAAACATATTTCCCTTACAATCTACATGTCTACAGTTGAGAGGATGGCTCATAAATTGCGTTTTTGACAACAAATATGGGTCTTAATCCCGCTCAACCACGGCCTCAATGTCACCAAGTGAGGCCAGCCCCAGGGGGGCGCATGTGAGTGCAGAATTCGGCTTCATCCCATTCCATCAGAAAGCTCCTTTCTTGTTCTTCATCTGCTAAGGGCAGCTACAGGTTTGGCTAACATACATATAACACATTGTAAGATGATTTAAAATGCACTTAGGGTAATGTTCCAATGACGATAGGAATGATGAGAAAGAGAGGTGAAGGGTAAGAAGGTTGATTTTAGAAATTGGATGCACCCGGGATTCGGCTGCAGTGAAACACGAGAGGAGTTTATAGAGGATACACTCGTTTTGTTTAACTTTTAAAAACTCATTGGACTTATTTCCAAATGGAGGATTACATATCTGCGCTCAAACTATTATCTGGACTTAAACATGGTACTGGACTGAACTGAAGTGGTCTGTGCAGTTCATGTTTAAGGTAAGGCCCATAACACACTTTGAAATGTGCTTTTTCATACTTTTGCATTTTGTATGAGCAAACAATGTGGGCATGAAACATATTCTGCTGTAGCCAAACAAATTGTGAATAAGCCGCTCTGTAGGTCCTGTTGATTTATATGATATATGTGTTCATCTGATTGGGCTGAAGTCAGTGCCTCACCAATCACCAACCTCACCGGTCACTGGTGTTTCCGCATTCACAGTGGCACAGCACAGAGAAAGATGGAGAGTGAGGAGGACTCCAGCAGCAAAACAGCCTTTTCCAGAACGAAATATCACCACTATTTCAAACTCACTGAGGTTAAAGTAAAAAATGTGCACGTCGAGTGCACATAATGTTCCAGAACGAAACAAAAAAGTAACGCAATAGTTACTTTTATAGTGGCGTAACTCAGTTACTTTTTGGGAGAAGTAACTAGTAACTATAACTAATTACTTTTTCAAAGTAACATGCCCAACACTGTTGATAAGATGTTCAATATTTGTGTCATGTGGTTTTTTTGCATGCAGAAGCTTCTCAATTAAATTCTCTATACAATTTCAATGACTTACTTTCGATTACTATTTACAAAACATTCATAAAAGTCCTGTTCAGTGCTTCTAAAATTTTACTCACCAGGAAGCTGCAGTAGCTTATAAGCGGTAAATGCTATATGTAAACAATTAATAATAAATGTAGGTATATCATATAAAAGTTATTACAGACCAAAGCATACAAAGTGCTGAACAATAAAATGTATTGGAAAAAATGCATTTAAAGAAAAAACAATTATTGCAAAAGCAAAAAGATGTTCAAGTAAAAAAAACTGATACAAAACAATATATTAATATCCTTTTTTGTCTAGAAACACACACACACACACACAGACAGGGGTCCAGGACAAAACATTTGACATAATTCATCTTACAATATGTGACCTTTTATTTTTTTCTGCTAGAGCAAATAGTCCATAGAGCCAGTGCATTTCGAACATGCATTTTGACTTATTAGAAGACATCTAAAAAGGAAAATCTCGCTAAATATATGTTATCGCAGTCCTTCACATCACTGTCACACACCACACTTTTTTCCAATATTGCACAGACCTAGTATCATATTATATCAACTCGGGTTCAGATAGTTCAAAGTTCTAACTTTAGTCTCTGCTTTACTTCACAAGTCAATGTCATTTGGTAAAACCTGTTCCTGTCCTTCAGCTGAACCACCCCAGTCTGGTGGAGGGGCTGGTGCTCATCGACGTGGACCCCTGCGCCGAGGGATGGATCGACTGGGCCGCCTCAAAGGTCAGCACAACCCCAGCCGGAAACTGCAGACCACATAAATAATTGAGCGGCTGTTTCTCTTTCTGCTCGGCTTCAATTATATGTTTAAAGACCTCAACAGACATTACTCTGTTGTGGCGCCTTATATATAATTCAAAGTATTTAATGGCATTGATTAAATAGTCCAATACAGCGAAAGAATCTCCGTCACAGATGTTTTCATTTGTTGGTTTCATCAAAAGGGCAAACAACACAGGACGTGTGCATGCTCAAAGTTTAGTGGGGGGTTTTCTCTCCCAGTCCAGGTTTTTGTGGCAGACTGTTTACTCATATAACTTGAGTCTTGGAAAATTCCAAATGTCCTAAATCACAACAGTAGTTATCTCAGAGGATTTACGCAAAATTGTTGATTCGCCAAGACAGATTAGAGAATAAGACACCTGAAACACAGGAAATGCAATGATAAAAACACATGAGCCATTGGTCCGTAAGGGGAAGTCCATGTCCATAAATGTCAATAGATGATCCAGGACATTCGACATTCACCAACATTTTGACATTTAGAACCTCCTGCATCGGGAAGGAAAAACTCTAAAAATTCAGTGGGAGAAAAGTGAGTAACCTCAGGGAGGCCCACATAGAGGGAGGGATCCACTCCCACAGACGGACAAGCTCTAAATAGTAGAACGAGGACCAAGCCCACGCGGTGCAGGACTGAGGCGGTTCCCAGACGGGAAGGGGGTGCAGGCCACGAGTCCGACCCGAGTCAGGGGTCCCAACATTACGTCATGAAACAGACAATGTTTGTTGTTGTTCTTGTTTTTTTGTTTGTTTGTTTTTAATCAAATGGTCCTGTGATCTCTCATGATAGGCAGAGTTCCATTTGAACAAACATTGGGCCGCTTGCAATATGTCCTTTATGAACAAATATAACAATCTCTCTCTCTTCTAACGGAGAGCCAACCTACCGTAAGTTTTCATAAAGTTCCAGTGATGGGTTTTGACCTTTGTTTCGATGAAGAAGCTTCTTATCCCCATAATCTATAAAAAGAAAGTAGTCGCCTGAACAAATTATTTTCTGTAATTGAATGGAATACAGGATTAATTTCTATAATAGATTGATTACTTGAGATTTCCCCAATGTGGGATGAATAAAGGATCTCTTAATCTTACTTTAGACTTCTGCACAATTCTGAAATAACTTTTCATCAAGCCAAAACCTGAGGTACTTATAGAAGATGTCTCTTTCAATCTACTCTACCATTGGTCCCGTAGAGTATTCAATTGTAAACCTTGCTATTTCTTGATTGTTTATTTGATAATACATAATACATACATTTTGTTTGATTTGTTTTCAGCAATAATTTATTTGAACTTCATTGTAGTATTATTGTGACTTAACTTTTATCTTTTATGAAACCTAATTCTATGTTTTTGGAGTCCCGTTTGTTAATTTAACTGAGAATAACAGAAAATAATAAAATCTTGAGGAAATACAACAAGGATAAAACAAATATTTTCTACAGACAACATTGACCTCCTTGGCTTTGCTTGAAACTGGAATCCAATTCACGGAAATACCAAAACCTTGCCTCATTTTGAAACCGAATGCATTTTTCTTCTCTTCCTCCAAATGTGTAAATGTTTGCATTCTGTCTAAAATGGCTGAACAGGAAAAGTCGACCAAGGAATTTAGTAAATGGTTTGTAGGAGTTCTTGAAAAGCTCTAAACCCACGTCTCTGCTTTGTGTGCAGCTCACCGGATGGACCAGCAACATGGTGGACATCATCATGGCTCACCACTTCAGCGCTGTACGTTTATCACCCCACATTACCCAGCGCTTTCCCTCATTACTCTCCAACTTGACCTTTGCTCAATAATAGACTGAAGCTGGAGAAATATGCAAACTTGTCTTGATTTCCCCTGGCACATGTCCCTCATCTCACTGTGCCACATTTTAATTATACGCCTATACACTTGTTACACTTCCCACTTTGCTCCGTCTGGAAATGTAGCCTGCTGTTAAACTATTTATTTAGATAATGGGTTGCGTTCATGTGACATCATGAAACTCCAAAATAGCCTGAAGTTTAACATTGAATTAGAGGGAAGTTGAACAAGCTATTGTGGTAACTATGGTAACTGTCATCAGATTGGTTTGTAAGCTTTATTTATATACCGCCTTTCACAGACCAGAGTCACAAAGCAGTTTACAATTGTTATTTTTTGGGCACTTGTCCTCTCACTCCACACAGAGATGGGAGCGGGGTCACCGAACAGGAGGCGCATGCCAGAGCTATTGTACATATTTTTAGTGGTAGGGGAAACCGGAGTACCCGGAGGAAACCTACGCAGACACGGGGAGAACATGCAAACTCCACTCAGAAAGGCCCTGGTCCGGCCGGGATTCGAACCCAGGACCTTCTTGCTGAGAGGCAAGAGTGCTATCCACTCAGCCACCGTGCCGCTGAAAATTGTAGTTTTCAATTTTCCAGTATTCAAAGTTTTCTCCAGTAATTGCCCTGTTGAAGTCATAAAACCTCTTCTTATTGTGTTTTGATCCAGGTAGGGATATAAAAAAAAAACATTAATCAATTACTAATTTAGTTGACCAATTTATTTAGTTAATCCCATTCCACATGAAACAAGAACTGTCACATCTTCTTTTTCAGCACATAATAGTAATAATAATGATGATGATGATGATGATGATGATGATGATGATGATTATAATAATAATAAATCTTTACTTATAAAACAGGGTTTGCAAAGCGCTGCACAGTCAAAGCAATAAAAACAGTCATAATAAAATAAAATATCAAAAAGAAATACAGGAGATTAAAGCAGACGGACAACAAGAAAGACAAAACAAAGATAGTGTGGAAAAGTGAAATACATGTAGACTTTAAAACAGTTATGGGAAGGCCTTTAGATAAAAGTGAGTTTTAAGAGGTGATTTAAAAGAGGTTACTGATGGTGCTAGCTTTATCTCCTCGGACAGGTCCTTCCAGAGCTGAGGAGCCCGGACAGAGAATGCTTATCTCAACTATGGTCTCAGTATTTGCTCAGAAAAGTGTCTTAAAGTGGTGACAATATGATGCAACAACATATGCTGGCCAGTAGAGAGGACTTTCAGACATAAGAATAATAAGGCGGGCTGTGGACAATAAGTTGTGATGGCACCTGCCCTCCAACTTTCATTTTGATTTCCCCACTAGGAAGAGCTGACGGATAACCAAGAACTGATCCAAACCTACCGCCTACACATCGCCCAAGACATAAACCAGGACAACTTGGCCCTCTTCTGCGGATCGTACCAATAGTAAGACGCACAAAGCTATAGCAGTGAAAACCTGCATTTGTGTAAAACTAACCAATGCTTTTCTTGCTGTGTTTGCAGCCGACGTGACCTGGGAATTGAGAGGCCCATCGTCGGACTGAACGAGCACACGGTCAACACTCTCACGTATGTACAGCAGCTAAAATAACTTTATTGATCTGCCCACACTATCCCCACAGCACAGAGAGAGTGCTGAGCCAAATGGACCTACTTTAGGCCTCCATGAAAGCAACGCCGTCTGATCTTGTCTCTTTTGATGATTTTAGATGCCCCGCGTTACTCGTGGTTGGGGACACATCTCCTGCTGTAGAGGCTGTGGTGAGTTCCATATTCCTTATTTTTTCAAAAACAGAATTGTGTTTAGATCAGTGTTTCCCAACCTTTTTGAGGCGTGGCACACCTTTTCCAGTAAACACAATCACATGGCACACCTCCAGCTGAAACTGATACAAAAATGAAACTGCAGCCAGGATTAGCAATGGAAAGTCCTTCTCATCAAACTGTTTCTATAGTTTGGTCTCCAACCTGTAGCTCACCAGTCCTTTTAGGTAGCTCCCCAAAGGATTTGGAGTTAAACACATGATCTATCAAAAAATAATCATTCTAATTTTAATTTTAAGTTTTAATTTACATCTGTGTACTAGTGTACATGTTTTGTCGTAGTTATTATATAGTCGTTTTTTACAACTATAACAGAGAAGCTCTCTCCCACTTCTGTTGTATAAAAGTAGCTCTCAGATTGAGAAAGGTTGGAGACCCCTGATATAGAGAATCAAACGAGTACAAAAAAGTATTTTTGATCTTCTACATTATATTCTTTTTACGTTATTTTGACCAATTTTGTGATATTGGATTATTTCCGAAGGCACACTAACGTCTCACGGCACACTGGTTGAAAAACACTGGTTTAGATCATGCTAATATTACAAACTTTTGGCACAAACATGTGACTCCGCCCCTTCTGTTTCAGTCCAGTAATCATTGTACCACTATAATATCACACCGTTACACCGCCTAAAAAAGTAGTGCCCATAAATTACTAAAGTGAAGTACATTCACGTGGCTGCGTCATTTTCAAATTTGGAAAAACCACTCTCAACCCCTCCCTCTGGTGGTAGCATAGGAAGTATTTTTTACCCTTCATACGTGTTTTATGTGTTCATACAAAGTAAATAGTCTCATTAGTATTTTTAAGGGCTGAAAATGCATCATTCTTCTTTCTAAGCCCTGGTCACACCTTCTGAATTTGAATACATCTATGTTTCAGGTGGAATGCAACTCTAGATTAAATCCCACCAAGACAACACTTTTAAAGGTAATTTCAAGTTATGATTAGTTAATAGATTAATTGCTATTTACAATTGTCGTTTTATCTTTGCAGATGGCTGATTGTGGAGGTCTTCCCCAGGTTGTGCAGGTATGTTGGCTCTTCAGACGTACAGTATTTATTATTGACATAGCAAAGCACTCATTATATGTATGTTTACAGCCAGGGAAACTTGCAGAAGCATTCAAGTACTTTGTCCAGGGCATGGGCTACAGTAAGTGAACATTGACTTGTTTTGTTGTGATAAATGAAATGTTTCTAACACCTTCTTGAGCTGACGTCTTTGTGGTCAAGGTCCATGTTATACGTTGAATTTCCTGTTGACATCATAGAACTAAGTGTTTTTAATGGGCGGTGCAGTCTGTGATGTAATGTGCCCTGGTTCAAACTGCGAAACATGAACGGTGAGGCTCGTGGTGACGTCATATCCTCTGTGCTCCTTACAGTGTTTGTCAACCACAGCCCTCAATAGGTGAGGTCGGATGACCACTGTACATCTAAACTGCAGAGCCTCCTTGTTTCACTTTGTTTGCTCTTGGTAAAGGCCTTTTTCAAACTGATATGTTCTTGTTTAAAGATGCCAAAAGTGCATTGTTAAACAGGTTTTTACAAGCATTCATCTAAAATAAGAGGAGTGTCTGTTTGCTGTGGTGCAGATGAAGCTTACTCTGTTGCTCTGCTCCAAAGCCCTCACTGTTGGAGGCACCTTTGGGTGCAGCTCGAGTATCAGAATGCCCCCGTTGATCAAATGCCACTGCAGGATTAGAGCCGATTAAAAAGTGTTTTCACACTGTGCACTTGTGCGATACACCACAGTGGGTTTCTCAAAGCAGCTTTTCCCATATTAACACATAGCAACAATGTGAAAATCACAGTCAGGTTCAAAAGTCTGCAAACGCAGCTTGTGTCCCACTTTCTTCCTTGTCTTCAACTTCTGAGTTGCAATGAGTCCTCTGTGATCACAAATTAAAGCTACATCAGAGTGGCGCTTTCAACGTGATCCTTTTCTTCTTCTCTCTCCTGCTTTATTATTCCCCTCCAGTCCCCTATGTTCTCCTCAGTCACCTGAGCAACGAATCAGGTACAAGCTTGTTGAGCAGTCCATAGATATCAAAGCCACTTGCCTCTGCAGTCCACAATAGAGGAATGTTGATGTTCATTTTGGAGGGTTTCTGTTTCTTTGCATGTGGTTTTAATTGACACATTATTTGCATGCAGTGAAGTTTGATGTCATACTTTTTGTTTTGTTAAAGAATGAGTCTTATTTCTCTGTTCATTTCACCTTTATTATATAATATGTTTGCATGGTGTGCACTGTTTTTGCCATGCTTTTCTCCAGGTTGTTGTGTTCCCATGCTGCACTGGGACTCTGGCCAGTGTGCTCTGAATATCAACGTCCCCTCTTTTCTTCCCTCTTTTCAGTGCCGTCAGCGGGAATGACTCGCCTGTCTCGCTCTCGCACCACCTCTTCTTCCAGCATCACTTCCATGGAGAGCAGCCGCAGTCGCAACAATCTCAACAGTTTGCTGGAGGGCTCCGGGGGCTTGGACAGCGGGCCCCAGACCATGGAGGTGTCCTGCTAAGACCACCACTCTCATCTGTATAAATAACTTATGTGACCCCCATTCCCTCATTCAGCAGCTGAATGCCACAGAAATCCTTACAGAGTCTAATGTAGAGAATGATCTTATTCAATAAAATGTATAACGGAGACAAAATATTATAATAAAAAGTTATATGAAGTACATTATAATAACATTCCCTTCAAAATCTGTGTTTAACACTCATGAGAACCTCACTATGGTCCTCTCACATTCATATTTATTAATTTTTAAGCTACATTTTTTATTTCATTACTGTTTATTAACTTGAGTTTGTAAACATGTAGTTGATTTCTGAATCCAAACTTGTTAGGCAGTGTTTGAGAGAGTTAGCATGCTGCTAAGTGTTATACTGTATACTGTACTGGAGCACTCCTGTGTGCAGCTGGGATGACACTCAGACCTTGAGGTTTTGTATTTAGGATCATCTCCTTTTATGTCACATTTTTATGTTTGTGTTCTCTGATTCTGTTTTGTTCTAACATGTTTGAATGCAGAAGGTTATCTTGAACTGTATGCTAATTCAACCCATTTATATGACTACTAAATAAAATGTTAGAATAAGCAACATCATTGTCTTTGACATTTTTAAAACTCAGTTCACCTACCTATTTTACAAATAGTTTGGTTTCACATAGAGCTAGTCTCTAAACAAGGTTTATTGTAGTCTGGTTTCCAACCACAGGCCTTACTTCCTCAACCTGTTGATCTTTCGAGGTGTATTTTAGTCTGCTGAACCTAGTACTGCGATGACACTAACGTACGAGGCTGGTACCACAGGACTTTTACATGTGTTACATAAACACAACTTTATTTTATTTATTTGAGTATTGGAGATTACTCGCTAGTATCCGTGTAATATACACTGCTGTAAAAAATTCTCTCCTGGAAAGCTTGCACTGATGTGACATCACAACATTCCTTAGTCTACAGTTTAACATTGTGGTATTTATTGTGTCATAAGTAAGATTGCTGGTCTTCGTTTAGAGCTAGTTTCTCTTACAAAAACAATCACAAAGGTTTACAGCTTCCTTGTCAGCACATGTCAACTACGAATGTATTATTGTATCTTGAAGGTGTCAAGAAATGGTGACAATATTCAGAAAACTATATGCATGATGTAGAAATGACAGACAAAAGAATGATATGGTCAAATAATGATCTGGGAAACCATTTGGACTTTTCATCTCTCAACCTTTCTTTCATAAATAATACATGTTGCTTTAGTAGAAATGGAGAAGGCAGGAATGCTGCCCGGACGTGTCCTTTGGGTGTTCTTCAGTGCAGGGATCAGTGTAAAGATGCAAAAAATGAAAGACTGAAGCCTTCAAAAAGGATATTGTTTAGTCTTTATCAACTGAGAATGCCACCGTGTTTCTTCACTGGGCCTTCATGTTATTGATGGAACTTTGAATTCTGCTGTCGCCAAAAAATGCTGACACTTTGAGCCATATTCCCAAAAGCTCTTGTGTCATGTGGACGACGATCCCAAACGCACAAAGCAAGTCCACTTCAGAATGGCCTTAAAACACTATTATACCTTAGTATTATATTTTCTTATTCACATTTATTTCAGCATGACATAAGAAAGTAGATGAATCCACAAGCTTAAAAACACGTTCACAACACTGTATGTGTATTTAAGAATAAATTGTGATTATTTTATGGCTAAAATTAGTGAGTGGGCGACAGTAGCTCAGTTGGTAGAGCATTGGCCTTAAGGCCAGAAGGTCGTGGGTTCAATTCCCACCTCTGCACCTTCTCCACCGACTCCCACTGATGACTGCTGTCGTTGTGTCCTTGGGCAAGACACTTAACCCCACTTTGCCCAAAGCCCCCACTGAAAGATCAAGGCTATGCTCACACTCAGAGAGCAGCCGTCCTCCTGTGGACTCACCACCTGCAGAGGATCAGTGAGGGGCTGGTGCTATGAGACTTGGGTGGCATCTCTGACTGTCACCCCCCTGACCCAGAAATGGATTAAAGGGTAGAAAATGGATGGATTAGTAAGTGTGTTTTTTTTTTATTATTGTATAGTGGTGATCTTTCTCATTTAATTGCAATTTATTTATTATTAAATTTTTTGTCAACCGTTTTCCAAATGGGCTCACAATTTTTTTAATCTAACATAGACTGTGTTGTTAGGATTCCAATAATGACTTTTTCAGACCACCTGTGATTTTCATTTCTAAAATCATCAATAGCTGTTGCTTTCCAGAAGTCCTGGTAACTCTTCCAACTGATGATTAGTTACTAGATATTTGTTTGTAGAAAGTTGAGTAAGAGCAGAAATAAGTCACTAAACTAAATATAAATTGGGAATTACGGAAAGTTTAGTTTCAAGATAAACATGTCTTGATACATTTCACAATTTGAAAAAAAGAATTGTGCAATAAAACGGAGGCTTGATATTGGAAAATGACATGTGTCTGTGAAAGACTTGCGCAACACAAAGCAGAGATAAATTATTTGAAAATGTGTCGGTTTTGTCAAAGGCTTTTACGTGTCAGAGGGAGATGTGGGGCGGATATATGTCAGGAAGCAGTATTTTCAGACGTTCAGACAGCTGCAATAACAGGACAGAGAGAAGAGCAACCTGAGCTCACAGCACCAAGGACTCCCTCAAAGACCGGGCTCACAACACACCTTCAAATACAGATACTTTGGAAAAGGTATCTATAATTTCACATTAATGCGAGTTATATTTATTTCATTTATTTCATTTATTTCATTTATTTCATTTATTTCATTTATTCTATTTATTTTGTTTATTCTAATTACAATGTGATCTCGCATTTTGTTCTGACTCCTGATTGGAAATGACTGTAACATATAAGATAAGATACGAGTTCCGTTTTTTGTCCCATAGTGGGGAAATTTCAATGTTGCAGCGCACAGACAGGACAGTAGTGAGAGCACACAGGGAGCACACAAAATATACAAAACAATTAAGCCATGTTTCTTAATTAGCTATAAATGCTGTGAATGCTTCAATACCAGTCTTTCAAAATATAAACATACATGTAGTGCAGAGGTATATACTGCACAAAGGGCAGGAATATATGTAGATAAAGTAAAGTGAAATTGTTCAGTGGACATTCTGAAGTTGCAGTATTGTACATTGCACATGATTATTTACAGTTAAATGACATTACGCCGTATATTTGACATACTGTACAGACAAGTAGGATGCACTAATATTTCAAATGCATTACAAATAAATCTGTCTTTGACAATCCTGAATTGCATATTTGACATATTGTAAAGGCAGCATCAGCATCAGTCTGACCTCGTGTGGTCAAACTGCTGCGGATGGAAAGTGTTCTGGTTTGGCACTTTCCATCCGCAGCATGTTTGAGTTTGGTTGCCAGGTTACAACTGTGGCTGCACTTACATTACTTTTAGCTTTATATGATCAAGAGAGTGAAGTTTTGTGCTTCTCAGTCTCATACTATTGTACTCTCATTTGCAGGAATCAAGATGGGCACATGTCACACCAGGAGCCGGTCCCGTGCCCCTGTTTCAGAAAACATCTCTGTCCCTGAATCCACAGGTAGCTCCCTGATCCTAAACATTAAGCATTTATATATAAACTATATATTATTAAACGATTTCTTTGCAGCTGCAGAATTTCAGGAGAGCATTATTGTAGCTCTCTACAACTATCCATTAATCGACCAGTCACAGCTCAAGATGCGCATTGGGGACCGGCTGACTGTCACCTCAGAGTATGTATTCTTCATTCATATTTACTCTTTTCATTTTAACAAGCCGCTCCAACTATTTAAGAATAATTGAACTACAGGCATCATTGAAGCCAGGGCACTTACCTTTAGTTATTCATGAATCTTTGGACTTGGAGCGAAATATGTACTTTGTGCTTTAAAAGTTTTAAGCTTTAAATGTGCATAATTTAAATGGGTTTTAAGCTTTAAATGTGCATAACACAACTGTTCACTGTAAATATTCATGATTAGATAGATATATACTTTATTGATCCCAAAGGAAATTGTGCATTGGTCCCTTGTTCACAATCATACAAACATACAAACATAGGATAGAGTTAAAAGATAAAAACATAATCAATGATGACAATAAAATACAATACGTGTTTTAATATCACAGACAGACAGATAATCCAAGTAGAGTAATTACATCGTCATGGCAACGAACAGGCTTGAGACCACATCAGTAAAGTTACACAAGGCATCTTTAAATAAATCTGGGGCGCCTAACTTTGAAACCACAAAAAAAAAGACAGTCAATGGAACAAATTCTTAGCTCTGTAACAGTTTCCATCACAAGCTTTCACATGCTTTTTCTGGCCTCTTTAAGATCTGCTTTTTCAGACTAAAAAGTAAAAAAGACAGGACCACGCTCACTGTAAAAGACAACAAGTTTTCCAACTCGGTGCATGTTCTGACATCCCAAAATGTCACTTAAAGACTTAAAGAAGGGAATACATTTATGAAACCAAAAAAGTTAGGTACTCCAGCTTTAATAGATCTGTTATTTTTTTAAATCCATATGTAAGCCACCCATGTTTTGGCAACTGTATAACCTATAACCAAACTCTAAACACTGTGATTATGACGACTTTATTGTTCTCTAACTTCCTCTTTTGTACGTAAAAAACAACATGTATTTTCTTTTTAAAGTGATGGTGATTTTCTGATGGTGAAATCGCCGACTAGTGAGTGTGAGAGCTACATTCCCACCTGTTACACGGCAAAAGTGACACAAAGGTGAGACATGGTTATCTTCTCTCTACTCACATTCCCCCAGTATGTATGTTACAACGAATTCTAATGTTCTATTTATTTATAACAACTAGCAATAGCAGCTTTATACCGTCTCACATATGTGTTTTTCTGTGTTGTAAATATGATCCTATACTTGGGCTATTGCACTGCTGATTAAATACTAAACTGCATTTTGTTGCATTGTTCTGACTTTGTAATGACAATAAAGTTAAATCTAATCTAATCTAATGTTATTTTGGATTGTGAGTAATATACAAGGATTACTATTGCAACAACACATCATCAGTAGGGTAAAACTAACCTGTCTCACGACGGTCTAATCCCAGCTCACGTTCCCTATTAGTGGGTGAACAACGCTTGGTGAATTCTGCTTCACAATGATAGGACTAATATTTTTTTAAATGCCGCCTTTCACAGACCAGAGTCACAAAGCGGTTTGCAAATGTTATTTTTGGGCATTTGTCTCTCACTCCACACAGAGATGGGAGCGGGGTCGCCAGTACAGGAGGCGCAAGACAGACCATTGGACATGTCTTTAGTGGTAGGGGAAACTGGAGTACCCGGAGGAAACTTACGCAGACACAGGGAAAACATGCAAACTCCACTCAGAAAGGCCGTGTTTCGATCGGGATTCGAATCCAGAATCTTCTTGCTGAGAAGAAGAAGCAAGAGTGCTATCCACTCAGCCCATTGTGGGAAGGTTTATGGGCTTCTATTAGTGCCTTTGATTTACTCAATCATTAATCATCGACTAGATAAGAATCATAAATTGCCAAACTAAATTGTGCTCAGCAAAAATACTGAAATTTCAATGTTTAAATGGAAAAGCATGGCAAGGTAGGTTTATTTATATAGCACAGTGCATACAAAAGACAACTCAAGGTGCTCAACAAAACAAGAGAGAAAACATTAAGATCCTACACAGATTACTCACAGATAATCACAGTTTATTAAAGAGGTGGATACAATCTTTCAGATGCACCATGGAACTGATCTGTTTTTAACCTGGACTTTAACATTGTCAGAGTAGAACACTGTCTCACAATGCGTTGGATTTCTCTTTGAGATCGGCAGAACTTATCTTTTCCACGTGATCTGCTTCACATGGAAACTAGACCGTCCTCTGTTCATTCTTCTTTCAACTTTTTTTTTAATTGTTTGAACTGGTGTTTAAAATCCTTTTTTTAAGGCGACCTTGAGTGTCAAGAAAGGCACCTAAGAAATAAAATGTATTATTATTATTATTATTATCATTATTATTGTCATTATTATTATTATTATTATTCACTGATGTGTCTTGCTGTTTTACAGGTGGCTCTTCACAGGAATCAGTCGGGTCAAAGCTGTGGAACTACTCATGCTCCCTGAAAATGTGAACGGATCTTTCCTAATTCGTGAATCAGAAACAAATAAAGGTATGTAAAGTTAATTCTATAAATAGGATGAATTAGAACATTCCCTGAGAGCTAGGAGACAGTTTAGAATTGTGGTGGAGGGCAGGTAACTATGGCAGGGGTCAAATGTCAGATGTCTGGTCTTAGTTTAAAGCTAATTTAATTCCTAGACCAATCTTCATGAAACATATTATTTTCTCATTGCTCATAAAGGTGTTTGTTAGTAGTAGTGACAATTTTCAAAAACATATGCATGTGGTTGACCAGTCCAAAAGACTTTCTGTCATAAGAATAGTGGGTTTGTGAATCACTATCAATGATTTTGGAAAACATTTGGACATTTTCTTTTTCAAAATGTGTTTCAAAATGTGTACCGACTCGGGTACACTTGCCACAATCAAATACAGTATATCAATCAATCAATAAAATAAATGAATTGGCACTTCGCAAAAAAATTATTTTGAACAACCTTGAGTGATTCTATCTCTGTGTGAGATCAATAAAGTCTATCTTATCTTATCTGAAATAGAATTCTACACAACATGAACGCACCCTGTATAACTGAATAACTTTTTTATTTTGTTTTAAGTCAAAGCAAAATTATTGTTGATTATTATTGTTGATTAATTGCAGTTTAACTTTGCTCCTCTCTGCAGACAGCCACACCCTGTCTGTCCTGAACAGAGGAGCCTTTTCCACCAGTGTGAAGCATTACCGCATTTATCACCTCCCAAACAGCTGGCTCTTCATTTCTCCAGGACTCACCTTTCCCTCTCTGCACCACCTCATCCTCCACTACAGCGGTGGGCAGAACTGCAACATTTACTACTGTGTGACAATATGTGACTGTTTAAAAACCATCATTTTAATTTTACAGAGAATGCTGATGGACTTTGCTGCCGGTTGATGAAACCCTGTTACATTGGTGGTTTGGATAAAGTCAGACCCACACCCACGGCCGTCCGCACGCCGACCATCAACTGGAAAGACATCAGCAGGTGAGGTTTAGTCTTTCAAGGATGCTGAATGCTGACTTTTATCCACTTTCTGCAGACTGACTGCAGAGTCCAGAGGGAATACATGGGTAGATCTAGATATAAATATTGTTTACAGTGAAATTATGTAATCATTAAGGTGGAATACGTAAAACCCGAGAAACCATTTATTTCCCAGTTATTAAATGTATAAACTCTGCCAATACAAAAATGACGCCATTTGATGTTGATCTGCCTTTTTAGACGCCACTGACTCCAGTGGCGGACATATTGGCAGATGCCACTGATCAAAAGGAGCCTGTCCTTACTGGAATGTATTATATATATACTGTATATATATATATTTTTTTTTTTACTTTAGAACCTTCAAAAGTGACTTCAATACTTTTACTTTACCAGAGGTGCAGTCAGCAACTGTATTTTAAAATTATTTATATTTCTGACCATGGGACACCGTACGATTATGTACAGTAATTATTTTTCAACCAATAATATATATATATATATATATATATATATTTTATAATATGTTCCCACAGTCCCTCCCCTTGACACCAGTATGATTTGCAGAACAGTGAAGGATTGGAATGTGTTTAATCTTATCTTTTGTTGAACCTCTAATAAGTTCAACAAGAGACTGAAGATTTTTGTTTTCTATGTCAGGTCTGTAATCTTCAGGCAGAAAAGAACCGAGTCTGGCACGTCTCCGGTCAGTGAAGGTCTCCGCGAAGCCATCTACTCGTATCTGCAGATGACGGAAAGCGAGCTGAGCTGGGACTCCTGAGATAGGACCCCTGAGAGAAGACCCCTGAGAGAGGACCCTCGAGAGAGGACCCCCGAGAGAGGATCCTGAGAGAGGACCCTGAGAGAAGACCCCTGAGAGAGGACCCCCGAGAGAGGATCCTGAGAGAGGATCCTGAGAGAAGACCCCTGAGAGAGGATCCTTGAGAGAGGTTCCCTGAGAAAGGTCCCCTGAGAGAGGAGCCAAGTGCTCCAGGTCTGAGGGAAAACATCATCATGCAACACTACATTATTTGTGCCTTCACTTCATTTTGAACCAGAAATGAATGAATACTTCATGTACATATGTAACATACTTTATGGCATTATTTATGTATGTATAATTATCATTGCATGTATTTATTGTGCTTTGTATACATCCGCAGTAAACTGGTCTTGTCACTCATTTTGCTTACAGCTTTCACTCCTTAAAGAGCCAATATACCTGCACTGGAACATATGGATTGTTTTTATTTTCTCAGCCAACATGTTTTCATCAAACTAAATAGTGAAAGCTCATTATTTATAGTCAAATCAAACCAGTTTGAACTCCAAAGTCACATACAAAATGTCAGAAATTTGGATGTATAATTACGCCTCGATCTTGTTAATTAATAATTGAATCATTCATTTTAATTGGTGGCACCTTTCTAGTTGATGGCACAGGCTGTGTCTGCTTCATTGACAAAGATGGGGAGCTGATTCTACAGTATAGGAGCTTGGTAGCTAAATACTCTGCCTCAGATTTTGATTTTTAACCCTTTAGGAATCACCAAAAGTCTGGCGTTTTGCAAACACAGAAGTTTTTATTTAGGTCACAAGGGGATTTTTTTTTTTTCAACCGTTTCCTCTTATTTCGAAAACTAATTACAAAACTCCACCTCAAATCCAAACTACTACACAGATGAAACTGAAACAATTCTGAAAAAAATAATAAAGTGAATTTATTTTTATAAATCAACTTGATGTGTCAAACCAATAGAGATTGCATGCAAAGTGACGTATGCCATGCTTTAAATTTGTGTAAGCCCTCAGTCGTACAGGGATTAGTCAAAGCAAAGGAAGGTTTCTCACCCATCATCTGTACTTTTTAGCAAGTTTTCCCGACGTTTCGTCCTCAAACCAGCGGACTTCTTCAGAGAATGAATTCTCAGACCGCGCGTTGGAGATTTATAACCTATGTGATTTATACCTAATCCTGATACTAACTTATAAAGTTAGTTACTATGCCATGCTTTGTTTTGTTTAATATGATGGCTTCAAAATTTTCTTTTGAGATGTTTTATCAGGGGTTTTTACAAGCTGTGAGCCAATTATCAACAAATAAAGGCTTGATAAATCTTACTTTGTGTGTATTAATAGTTTCACATTGTTTTGAACAACATTCCATTTTAGTAAATTTGACCTGCACTCATGCCTGCACTATATTATGTTTTATTGACAAAGGTAACAACAGCAACAGTTCCAGGTCCGGTGCATGAGTCGCCAGCAGGGGGCGCATGTGGGCCGTGTTATTACAGAGCCAGTGCTGTTCCTGTTCACCAGTCCTGAATAATGGCGACGCTTCAGGGCTCCGAGTCCCCTCTAACTGGAGCCAAAAGGAGACGCTGTCAGGGCAATATTGTCACAAAGTTCGCGTCCAGCAGAGTCACTGGCCGGGGGTTCAGTCGAGGGACGCAGGTGAGCTCGTTTTTCCACATGAAAAGAGCCCAAAGTTGCTCGACATAAAAACCAGGGACTTGAGCCTGGAATGCAGCCTGGCCATGAAGACGCTTTACAGAGGCATTTCTTAGCTCGTTACATGCGGGCTCACTCATGAACAACGTGTCTGTGTGGTACATGGACTGCACTGTTACGTCGCTGTGAGTCCAAAAAGTCTTGATTTGCCAACTGACACACGCGTTTGTCCGTTACTCAGCCCCAGCTCTGGTTCGAGAGGCTCTTTTGTTGTTAGCACTGCTAGCTTAGCGTAGGCCATGTTAGCAGAAGCACTTTATCTGTGCCTAAAGCTATGGACATACGTGTGCAAACCGTACAGTGGGCATTCTGTGGTCAGGGCTACTGTGATGAAGCATTTCTGTCATAAATCGTCACTGTACTCGGTTCATTTGTCTCTGTTCTGTGTCCAAGTGCAACTGTGAGTGTGCTTTGGTTAGCTCAGTGCTCGGAGCATTACGTAACCACTCACTAACCACAATAAACGACGCTTCCTTAAATGGATACGAGGTCATAACAGCTGCCAGTGCAAGTAACTGCGCTTCATGTCTTCATTTTAAAGAGTTATGTTTTTTCAATGTTCTTGTCATGTTATTTTTTAAACATGACTATTGAAACTGGTGAAAGGTCCTGCAGCGAAATGGTCCGCAGTATCTTTCATTAAAATAAGATCAAACTTTATTTAATCAACTACAGTGTATTTTATTGCAGAATGTAGTTTTCGAGTTACTTGTATCAAAGGAAATTCCCAGGTGTACTTTCAAGTGTAACAGCATTATTTCATGATGAATAAGAATGATCTTAGTGCACATTTTATGTAGTGTATTGAGGTTTACGATTTGTGAATTTAACTTTTATTAATGAAGCCAATCTATGTGAGCTTGTAGAGGCCCAGCGGCTGTACGAATGGTCAGAATGGTGCTTTTACTTTCCATCACTGTGGTCTGTCAGGCGCTATAGGCTCAACTGTTTGGAGGGTTTTCTATCTGCTGATGAAACCCCTCACCAAAAAACTTACAAAACAATGGATCCTGGATCTCTGTACACTGAAGGCACCACGCTGCCCACTCTTACAGCAGTTTCAAACTCTTACTTTGATATTTTGAAATCAATACCACTGCTGTTATGTTTAAAATAACTTGTTATGGTTCCACAAGTTTTTATACAAGTTACTTTGTTATTTTTATTGTGAAATACTATGTGAGCTACTGTGACAACGCAATTTCCCTAATGGATCAATAAAGGCTGTCTAAGTCAAAGTTCTTATACAGTATGAAATGGATAAATACTCAGTCCTGTTTTTATTTCATTTTATTTAGTATCTATACTCCCTCTAATTGGAATCTAGTTCAGTTACTAGTTATAGATGTTATCGATTTGATATCTGATTTTCTCTTTTGACGACCCTAATCCAAACTATTCGTTAACGTTTATCTGAAAAACACACACACACAAATATGATAATGCTTCAGTGCACACAAACGTTCTATAATTACTCATTGTTCAATAACTAATGGATAGAGCAACAAAATTTACAGCATACTCTGGACATTGTCTTATTGTTTACAATAATGAGATGGTATTGCCAAATACAAGTTTACTTTTTTATTTTATTACTTTTTTAATTACTGCGTCATTCTTCTGCTTGTGTCTTTCAACTGATGACTTTTAATGATAAAGACTATAAGATTGTTGACCAGTGGTAAGAACTCTTGAATATTGTTGTTTATCGCAATACCATTTGCTCTCCACAAAACAATAGAACTCAACCAGGTTTGGACCTCAGACCGTTGTATGTTGTTTCTGACCCATTGAGTAAAATGGGGGTTTTCGTTGATTAGAACTGCTGTTGTATGACGATCGTCAGAAAATCACGTGCAATAGTCTTTTCCACATTCATGGCTGGCCAGGACCTGCAGGTGTGTCTGTGTTCAGTGCCTGTTGTTTTGTTCTTCAGCTCCCAGCAGGCCTGCTCCAGGAGAGGGACAAACGAGCCAAGTGGCATGGCATCCCCAACCTCCTGCAGAAGCTGTACGAGAGCAGCCATCCCAACAGTGACTTCTCCCAGGCCCACAGTCTCCTTAAGGTCAGTCCTGTACTCGACTCAAGCTGTGGTACCATGTATTAGTGTAGGACTCGAGTAGGGATGGGGCGATGACTGGTTTTAAGGTATGCTGTGATAGTAAAAGGCCATGAATCAATACTGTTTTGACAAAGCTCTTGTATTCACTTATAGACTTGGAAAACAGCCCAGAAAAGATTATTTGAGTTACTTTAGTCTATCATGCTATTAAAAGTCTATCTATTCTATGAACATCAGTGGACATGAGTGTTACATGTACTGCACAATAGATTGTTTAGGCCATGATACTGAGGAAATGTCATACTTTCTCATCACCAATTTCTTTTTATCTTCATTTTGGTTCAAAAGTGGTCCTAATATGTATGGTTGTATGTTAAGAAGCAAAGAATCTTCTTCTCTGTGTTGGATAAAGTGTTTAATGGTTGACCGATTGTTTACAGGTATTATCATCACAACTGTCCATGGAGGCCATGTCCTTTGTCACAGAAGATAGAAAGACCTCTCAGGAATCTACCTTCCCCAACACCTACACCTTTGATCTTTTCGGTGGAGTTGATGTAAGTTTGTCAGTTTTGAGGTCTGACGTTTCCAAAACCCAAAGATTTCAATTGTGTTTGTCTTTTTCAGCTGCTAGTTGAAATCCTAATGAGGCCTACACTAACTATGCAGAAGAAGAAACCCAAAAGTATGAGAAAATAAGGCTAATGGACTATGTTTGGCTGTTTTGTTTAGTTATTCACGTCTTCCTCTTTATTGCTGTAGTGAATGATGATTTGGTGAAGGACTGCCTTAGTGTTCTGTACAACTGCTGCATATGTGTGAGTATCCGTGTTATTAAGTTCAATTTTGACAAAAATAAGACAGTTCTTGGTTTAGAACATATACAGTACTACAACATTAGGCACAGATGTTGTGTTGTGCAGTAGACATGTAGGCATGTAATGTGCCTGAGTGAGTCGCTAGCGTTTAGCATTTAGCCTAGCATCTCCTTTGCCATTGCCAAACTACAACCAGCCATTTTGGCGCAAACTCTTGATGTCACCTACACCTTCCTACAACACCCGCCTCCCCCGCTCGCTGATTGGTTGGATGGGGTACAACTTTGATAACTGCAGCCACTGAGTTCAGACCCAGACTTACATGTAGGGAAATAATAATTGACCGGAGTTTACGGATGGCTAAAGCCAGGCTAGGCCTATATCAATATCGCTCGATATTGGCAGTGCCCATAATCGATCGCCCCCTAATTGTGACCCACAAATGTACTTTGTTTTTTGCATAACTTCCTGCACACGTTCCTTTGTACAGACCGAGGGCGTGACGAGGAGCCTGGCAGCACGTGACGACTTTGTTCTGTTTTTGTTCACCTTAATGACAAATAAAAAGACCTTCCTTCAGACTGCTACTTTAATTGAGGATATCCTAGGAGTCAAAAAGGTAACTGGTCATTTTGGTCATTGGTCCATTCCCATCTGATTTGTGTCTTGAAGTATTTTTATTTCTTCCAAGGAGATGATCCACTTAGAGGGCATTCCTAACTTGTCCGGTCTGGTCCAGAGCTTCGACCAACAGCAGCTGGCAAACTTCTGTCGCATTCTGTCCGTCACCATCTCTGAACCCGACGTGGGGAATGATGATAAACACACACTCCTGGCTAAAAACGCTCAGCAGAAACGCAATGCCAGCCCCTCGCGTGCGGAAGTCAACCAAGGTAAACTCGTGCAATCGATTACCTACAGTTGCATGTAAGGCTGTAATTACAACTATTTTAATAATTGACTATTTCAATTAATCAATTAGCTGTTAAGATCCAGAAAGGCCAGAGAGATGATATGTTTTGTGGAGAACAACTTCATAGAGATGTCTTGTGTAGCACATTGGATTGTGTCATAAAACCTCTTCTCAGCGCATATAGACTTTAAAATGCTATTACTAAATTAGTAACTATCATAAATAATTGACTTATTACGATTAATCAAATGATCATAAATTCACTTTTGTATAGTGCTTTTTTTGGACACTCAACGACGGAAGCAGGGCAACCGGTATGTGCCAGGCATCCCAGTTAATGTTTGTACCTGTGTGTGTCCCTGCAGTCACCTTGCTTAACATCCCTGGCTTCATCGAGCGTCTCTGTAAGCTCGCCACCAGGAAGGTGTCAGAGGCCACAGGGGCAAACTTCCTCCAAGAGCTGGAAGACTGGTACACCTGGTTAGACAACGCCCTGGTGCTGGACGCCCTCATGCAGATGGCCACCGAGGAGGCGGAGCAGAGCAGCACCGGTAACTGTGGCTGCAGACACAAGGCTCTCGTTTGTCATGGAAACGACAAACCAATCATGTGTTCTTTTCTCCCAAAGAATCTTCCGATGAGAGCTCCTTAACCACCAGCCCGCTCAGACACCGGCTGCCCCAGTCCATGAAGATTGTGCATGAGATTATGTATAAAGTGGAAGTGCTGTATGTGCTGTGTGTGCTGCTCATGGGCCGCCAGAGGAATCAGGTACAGAACCTTTTGTTGTTGTTTCATAAATGCGTCTAGTTTGTCCGAACAGTCTTGGGCAGAACCTAAAAATGTACTTTTCTCAGCTTTTGGCCATGTTGTAGTTTTCCCTTGACATTTACACACAAAGCTGTTTTTATTATGTTTTTTGCATGTTTGAGTTATTTATATTATATATAAAATGAGAAATGAGTTGTGTCCTCTTTAATTAACATTTTATGAAGGACCACACCAAACTTAGAATATCTGTTTTGTAACATAGGGAGGTGTTTGGCCGTGATGGCTGAAACATGTGAAAAATAAACGCATGTGAAATCTAGAGCTCAAACCAAACTGTTTTGAGAGCGATGAATTCGTAACATGGATTTTGTTTCATAGTTGCTTTGTTTGATTCAAAGTTGTATACCCCAGTTTTAAGTGGTGTTGTTTGTGGTGCAGGTTCACAAGATGCTGGCAGAGTTCAGGCTCATCCCAGGTCTCAACAATCTTTTCGACAAACTCATATGGAGGAAGTACACGTCTTCTAACCACGTGGTGCACGGCCAGAACGAGAACTGCGACTGTAGCCCCGTATGAAGCATTTCCTCCTCCTCCTTTTTATTTTTTATCGTGACTTTTGTTTGAACTAACAACCTCATTATTCTGCTCCATCAGGAAATCTCTTTTAAAATCCAGTTTTTACGTCTCCTCCAGAGTTTTAGCGACCATCACGAGTGAGTGGCTGCATCTAGAGCTTGTTTCAGACTGATTTATTTGCTTTCTTTTCTCACAATGCTTTCGTTTCAGGAACAAGTATCTCCTGCTGAACAGCCAGGAGCTGAACGAGCTGAGCGCCATCTCCATGAAGGCCAACATCCCTGAGGTAGAGGCTCTGGTCAACACGGACAGGAGCCTGGTGTGCGACGGGAAGAAGGGTCTGCTCACACGCTTGCTCACCGTCATGAAGAGAGAGCCCCCAGATTCCTCCTTCAGGTTCGCTTTGTCTCCGTTTTAACACCATCTAAAGAGCCATCACTGCAAACACTCATGCTGTGTGGACTGTCTTGTGTAGGTTCTGGCAGGCTCGCGCCGTAGAGAGTTTCCTCAGAGGAGCTACGTCTTATGCAGACCAAATGTTCCTGCTCAAACGAGGACTTTTAGAGGTACGCTGGGAATAGTGTGATATACAGTGTTGTTCTGTCATTTTATCAATATGGAAATGTTCACTTCATTTTAATCGCATATAAATGTTTGACCTGAGAACAGTGAAGTATTTTTTTTCACATGGATTATTAGTATACCATTGAATAATGACTGAATACAGACCAGTGCAATTTTTGCCATTAAGTGCAATACCATATTTAGAAATATACTTCCCATATATGGGGCCAACCAACGTGGTCACATCAGCTTCTTTGTTTCTGGGTAGCCTAAGTGAATTTAGTCTTGTTTAGTCTGCAGTACCGCAAGAATCCCGCGAGCACATGGGTCCTTCATCTCCAAGCTAGAAATACCCTATCCAGTTATTGTTATAGATCCATAGTTCATGTTGACTGTGCCACTGTGGTTTGTTGTCTGAACCGAAATTCATGCCATCCATGATTCATGCATGTTGGTGCTCCAGTACAGTCTGAAACTCATCCAGTGAGAAACGTTCCCTGGTGCAAAAATAAATACGATTAAAATGCCCGGCCCTACCTATTTGGTGTAAAAATCTCCTCCTCTTTAATCAGAGGGGGTCAAACCAGTTCTAGAAAGGGCCAGTGTGGCTGCAGGTTTTGTTTCCAACCTGAGCAGGAGCACAGCAGACTCCAGCCGTTTCCTCAAATCTTCATCAGGACTCGCCGTAGGAAATGGGAGGAGTCTGGTGTGCTTCTGCTTGGATTGGAATTAAAATTTGCAGCCACACTGGCCCTTTGAGGACAGGTTTGACACCCATGTCTGTAAAAAAGGTTGTTGCTTTTTCAACATATCTCATAGGATCTAAAAACTGACATTATTGTACATTTGGTCTTTTAATTATCAAAACATTCACCGTAATATTTGCCCAAAGTGTGTTGTTCTTTACTGCAATTTTAATATGACTGCTTTTCCCATGTTCATTTAGTATTGAGCCCTGGAACAGTGATGCCCCTCCATTTAAATTATTATTCTTGAAATAGTTTAGATACCTCTTGACCTACTTCTTGTTTGACATGGTTTGTTTCCACAGCACATTTTATACTGCATCATAGACAGCGGCTGTACTTCACGAGACGTCCTACAAAGCTATTTTGATCTGCTTGGAGAGCTCATGAAGTTCAACATTGATGCTTTCAAAAGATTTAACAAATATGTGAACACTCCAGAAAAGGTAACATTTCCACACTTGTTTTAAATGTTTGACACTCACTCTTATTTATATATTTAATTTTTGATGTTTGTGAACTTGTGTGTATGTCTGTCTTGTGTTTTGTGTGTAGTTTCAGACGTTCCTGACCCAGATCAACAGCTCCCTTGTGGACTCCAACATGTTGGTACGCTGCATTGTGCTTTCCTTGGACCGATTTGAAAGCCAGACTGAGGATGTCAAAGGTAAAGGAACTGCCCTGGTCTTTGATTCTCCTGGTACTAGACACAGACAAATCAGACATATTATTATAAAACATTTGATATTTTACATACTGAGAGCTGATGGGGGGCTGGCACTCACACTGAAAGAGCTCATCTAAAGATAAAGACTGAGGACATCTGAGAACGAGTGTTAGAACCCAACAGTTTAGGAGACCCTTTATTCGCGCCACAGCGGGGAAATGTCTGTTTCATCACCAAATACAGAACAGTAGGAATGAGGAGCACACAGCAAAAGATAAGTGAACAATGAAACAAAATCTCTAACATTAGCATATTAAAGAAGCAAGTCTAAAATCTCCAACTCTAGTCTAAGAAACAAAGTATTTTGAGAGTTAGGAACTAGTTATATAGAGTTTATTACATAGTTTAATATTTGTATTAATAATGTGCGTGTATATATTTGCAGTAGTGGAGGTGTTGTCGGAGTGCTGCCTGCTCTCCTACATGGCCCGGGTCGAGAACAGACTGGCCTTCCTCTTCCGACTCGTCAACATCATCAACGTGCAGACGCTCACGCAGGTCTTTCACGTCCACAACATAAAGCGTTCGAGTACATTGCGAGCGCACACTGACCTCCCGCCGGCCTCTTTTTCATCCTCCCACAGGAGAACGTGAGCTGTTTAAACACCAGTTTGGTCATTCTGATGCTGGCCCGAAGGAAAGCCAAGCTGCCCTTCTACCTCAACGCCCTGCGAGAGAAAGAGTACGCCGAGAAGTATCCGGGCTGTTTGCTCAATAATTTCCACAACCTGCTTCGGTTCTGGCAGCGTCACTACCTCAACAAAGACAAGGACAGCACGTGTCTGGAGAATGTAAGTCCTGTTTTTATCTATCTTCTTTTTGAAGTGACCTGCGTGCATAGAGTCAAAACATTCACTCCATGTTTGTGGCTGGATGTTGAGGGTGAATACGGCTGGTGGGGGTGGTACTTAGGGGTGGGCAGTGTGTGGTGTTAAATGTAGTTAAATTTTTTCTTTTTTACTACTGTATTTTTTTTTTTTATAAGTTATGATTGCACACGTGGGGATAAGAAGGAGCGCTACCGTTGGGCCTTTATCCCCACCGCTGTCAGACTGTACAATAAGTCACTGATGCACTAGGACTAAAAACCTGCACTGCTATTGCCACTCTTTCTTTAATTGCTACTTTTTTTGTACATAATTATATCCTGCACTGACTATATTTTTAACCTTTAACATGTTTCACACTTCTGTCTTTTGTAAAATCTGAGTGATTCTATCCATGCCAAATGTGACATGTACATTTCTCCACTGTGAGATCAATAAAGTCTATCTTATCTTATGTACTGTAAAACTAAATAAATGACTTGCATCCATCATCTTCTGCCCCTCCGCAGAGCTCTTGCATCCCGTTCAGTTACTGGAAGGAGACGGTGTCAGTTCTGTTGGGCCCCGATAGAACTTCTCTCTGTGCCATTACCAGCTATATCGATGAGCCCTTTGTGGATTTGGACAAGGACCTTCTGGAGGATTGACCTGTGGGAGCTTGTGCACACGTCCCTATGGGAATGGGCAGGAGGCGAGTCACAGGGAGCATGGAAACCTGGAGGTTACAAAGGACTCCCCTGAGCCGAGCGTCCAGGTGCTCTGTGACTGTGGTCGGTGGAAGACTCACTGGACGTGACCCTCACATTCAGTAAACTTCTCACTCGAGGCCTCTTCAAACGGTCAATGGGGAACTCGCCCACCCCCAAAATATGAAATGCTTTAATAGATACATCCAGAAACGTCTGAAAGGATAACTGGTGTTTGTGTGCTTTTGGGGGAAAATAAATGGGTCTTTTTTATAAGGCAGTCTTTAAATTCTATTGATAAAAATGTATAATTTCAGGCGTTGTTTGATTATTCCTCCAGCATTGCTCGCTCATAAACCAAGCTGTGTCTGTGCCACTTGTAGGCGGTGTGAGGGGAAGGCGTGGGCTTTTTGCAGGGCTTGGAAGGATGTTGATTTAATTTCAGTGGAATAATGTCTTACACAGGTTGAAGTCCACTCCTCACATTCTCATAACACCTCCACAGCGGACGCTCACCCAGGGACTCTTTGCTTTCAGGATACATTTGTTTACTCCTTTTATCTTTAAACAACGGCTTTTAGCTCTGGTAAGCCTAGAATAAACCAGTGCACGGATTTTTTTTATTTTCTTTCTAACAAGCTTGTTGATTAAAATATCTTTATTTTGTAACCAAATGTGTTGTAAAAGATATTCTTTGGGAGGAAATAAACTATGCAGGCTTAAGTGTGGATATGTCACACCACATGGTTTCACCCTGTAAAGTAATATATCAGTCATTCTAATTTGAGCCCTATTTAAAATACCAGTGGAAAGTTTGGACATTCAAATAAAAACAAGATTATTACACATTGATAAAATTGTCTCATTGTGTTACAAAAACAAATTCACAAAGCTACCTCTTGTAAATTTGCTCTAGTTGTCCCAGTATGTGATGAAGAGCCCTAATGTTCACCTGAATGTTCTCAAGCCGCCGCCTTTCAAGCTTACGGCTGTTTGGCCGGTCCTTTGGCCTAAAGTCAATGAGGGAATAGACTTTTCAATTAAAGATATTGTGCTTTATTTATTTTGCTCAAACTGGATGCAGACAGGGTACTTTCTACAAGCTTTTCACTCAGTAGTCGGTCACACTAAGTTTTAATCTTTGAATTCAATTGGCTGCAGTCACACATGACTTGGCCTGTGAACAGACACCAGAAACCTGCTTCAAACTGCGTTTATAAGCTACACTAAAAATCTCTAAGGATGCATTTTGAACAGCATAAACATGAGCACATTTGTAAAATTATCTGCTCAATTTTAAAATATACTTTGTAGAATAGCTTGGAGTGAATGATATCTCTGTTGCTAACGGGTCTTAGATAATAAAATAATTGAAAACCAAATGCCTTGATGTTTTCTTTAATAAAGACGACAAATTGGCACAGAAATTTCAAACGTTTTTATTGCCACATGTTAACACACAGGTCTGGTCTCCTGTCACTCTGCATGCTGCAAAACAAGACCAGGGCATTAGCAACAACACATTTTCCACACAAGTTTGACATTGTTCTCGTCGCTTTGACCTGTCCTGTGTCGAACTGACCTTGCTGCCTTGATCGCGGGTGCGCACACGAAGCTTATTGACTTGTGTTTCAGCCATGTCTGCCCTCTCCTCTGCATCATCCAGCTCGTGCTGTAGTTTTCTGTATTTGGACAGGTTGGTGTTGGCCTGTTCCTCCTGCACACATTATTCATGCATTCAGGTGTTTTTACCGACTCCTACTTGATGTGTAGTTTTATGACTCACGGCTTCTTCTGTCTGCCTCTTGTAGCTCTTGACTTTGGCCTGGAGCTTGTCAATAAGTTCTTGAAGACGGATCATATTCTTCTTGTCCTCCTCTCCCTGCATAAACAATCAGTTTCAAATGTGTGAATGGTTACATGTACATATATCCGGGCAGGAGCTGTACCTGATAGGAGAGCTCTTTGATTCTCCTCTCAAACTTGCGAACTCCTTTTTGATACTCCTGGCTTTTCTTTTGCTCAGCTTCGAGTTCATTTTCAAGTTCTTTGACCTTGGACCAGCATAGACATATTGGAAAATGTGGTTCATAATATTATAGCTTATCAAGATGTTGAGCTGCTCACCCTGGCCTCCAGCTTCTGCAGTTGCTTTTTGCCCCCTTTGAGGGCGATCTGCTCCGCCTCATCTAAGCGCATTTGCAGGTCCTTAATGGTCTGCTCCATGTTTTTCTTCATCCTCTCCAGATGAGCACTGGTGTCCTGCTCCTTTTTCAGTTCTTCTGCCATCATGGCCGCCTTAGAGAAGAGAACAATTGAGCTGCTCTGAGCGTCTTTCATACGTGAGCATTTGCTATAGTTTGTAGTGGATCTTACATCAGTGATGGCCTTTTTGGCCTTCTCTTCTGCATTACGACACTCCTGCACAGCGTCGTCCACCTCTCCAGACAGCATCGATAGATCACTTTCAAGTTTCTTTTTGTGGTTGATGAGCCCCGTGTTCTAGAGCAATGGATAATAAAAAGAATAGAGTCACTTACACAATCTTATCAAACCAAGGGGCTGAGAGTTTTGTAGCAAACTGTTCAAAATGATAGAGGGATATGGTCATTGTTCAGGTCTCCACCACGACCGGTGGAATCTTGACCAGTGAAATCAGAAGGCCCTGACCATTTAAATATGCACAAATAATTGAAAGTATTAATTTTGTAATAGAGGTAAATCTTTATCTCGATTTAGTCTGATTTATGGTGTGTACACCCAGGGCGCGCTGGGACAAAACACAGCTCTGGACTCTCAGCTTCAGCTCATCAATGTGATCTCTGCCATGATCCTTTTGGCCAGGACTGTTTGTGTTTTAATCCAGTAAATACTCCTAAGGACAATCCGCCCTGTGCATTCCGCTCTCACCTGGGCGTGCAGCAGGTTGACCCTCTCAGAGGTCTCCAGCAGTTCATGTTCAGCCAGTTTTCGTGCACGATCGTTCTGCTCCAGCAGTGAGCGCAGCTCGTCCACCTCGGCCACCAGGAGGTTGTTCCTGCGGTCAGTCACAGCCATCTGCTCCTTCAGCTCCTCGTTCTTATGAACAGTGTCATCCAGCTCCAGCTGAACATCCTGGAGAAGGTCAAGAGTCACGTAGTTTAAAGTTTCACCACTTCACTGAATGTCATGTTGTACTTTTGTAACTGTTCAGTTTGACTCATTGCATTTTGAGGATCTTCTTTGAGAACCTGTCACTCGTTTGTGAGTATTCACCTTAAATTGGATCTGCAGGTTCCGAAGTTGCTTCTGGGACTCTGCAGCCTGTCTGTTGGCGTGGTTCAGCTGCACTTCCATCTCATTCAAATCACCCTCCATCTTCTTCCTCAGGCGCACTGCTTCATTGCGAGATTTGGATTCAGCATCAAGTGAGGCCTGCATGGACTCCAGCGTCCTCTGGTGGTTCCGCCTGAACAGGAGAGAACGTCAGTCATATTGTCTCCTCAAATAGTTGGCACCGTGACGCTCACCTCAGATTGTCCAACTCCTCCTCCTTTTCTGCCAGTTTTCTGTCCAGATCTGCCTTGATCTGGTTCAACTCCAACTGAATGCGCAGTGTTTTACTCTCCTCATGCTCCAGAGTGCCCTAAACAGAAGTCATGTGGTTATAAGGACAAAAGGAAATGAAGTTGAGCATAACAGAGAAAATTAACAATTCCCACTTCAGCTTCTTCCAGAGCAGCTTGTATCTCGCTCTTCTCCAGGTCCAGGCCTTTCTTGATTTTCTCCAGCTCATGGATGGTCTTAGATCCTTGACTGATTTGATCGGTCAAGTCACTGATCTCCTCTGTTGAACAGTAGACGGTTATTAGTCCAAGGGGAATATGAACCAGTCCTGCAGTCGGCATTCCTCTGGAAGTTTACCTTGGAGGTTCTTATTCTCTCGTTTGAGAGTTTCCAAATGTTCCAGAGTTTCTTCATAGGAATTCTTGAGCTTAAATAGCTCTGTGCTCAGACTGCGAGCCTCTTTCTGAGATGACTCCAGCTCAGTCTGACACTCCTCATACTTCTGCCTCCACTCAGACAGCACCTGCAGAATCAGAATCAGCCACAGCCGTCCTGGGCTTGTTGCAATTTCCTTCTTTTCTGTACCTTGTCAAAGTTACGTTGCTTCTTGTCCAAAGCAGTAGCTGCGGCATTGGCTCTCTCCAGGTCAATGACCAAGTCTTCAATCTCCGTTTGGAGCCGGTGCTTGGTCTTCTCCAGAGAGGAGCATTTAGCATTTGATGCCTCCACGCTCTCCTCCATTTCCTGGAGACGAACCACCAGCTTCTTCCTGAAAGAGAACACAGCAGTTTTATTAGAACACAGCAGGACTAAAGTCTAATACATATAACACATATGTGTAATATATACATTCTGAACTCACTTGGCCTCTTCCAGCTCCTCCGTTCTCTGGATGGCGTCAGTCTCATACTTAGTCCTCCACTGAGCGACCTCCACATTTGCTTTGGACAGAGCTCTCTGGAGCTCAGCTTTGGTCTCCTGCTCCTCGTCGTACTGCTCCCTCAAGAGATCGCAGTCGTGTCGCGACGACTGCAGGGCGTGAGCCAAAGCACTCTTGCTCTGAATAAAAAGTTATCAATTATTATTATTATTATTTTTATTGTTATCAGATTGTTACTTTAATGTTATTTCTATTTTTTTATTGTGAAATACTATGCAAGCTACTGTGGCAACACAATTTGCCTTGTGGATCAATAAAGTATGTCTAAGTCTAAGTTCATAGCTGAAATGATTGACATGTGTAAATATCCAAATGTCTGAAGCTGACCTTGTTTTCCTCATCCAACTGCTTCTTGAGCTCTTCCACATTTTGGCTGAAAGAGTTCTTTGCACGTTGGAGCTGGGACACCAGGGCCTCTCGCTCTTCAAGTTTCCTCGCAACCTCAGCTTCAAGCACAAGATGCATTAGAATCCAGAATTCATCAATAGGTGGTGTTCATGTTCGAGAATTCTATTCCAGATCAAGGGCAGTTGCCAATACAACTCTATGGGAACTCTTTCTCCTGGCCAACATCATGCATACAGTTTTTAATGGTAACCTCTAGACACCATGGTTGATATGTACTGGCAAAGAAGATGAACTTGTGATATTTGGATTGATCCTGGAATTACAACGAAATTAGCTTCTAATTAAAACTATAAATCTGACTTTTGAAAGCTACCAATGTTACCAGGAAACATTTTACAGCTGCCCTCCACCACAACGCTAACTAGACTCTGTGATATTGTGTTGTCACATGAACACAACACACAGTCTACCATGTCATGTCTTCATTTACTACAAGTTCCAGCTGATAGATAAATAAGATAGTTGTGCTTGATGTTGCAGCTCTTACCACCCTCAGCCTGCGCTCGGGCCTTCTGCGTGCTGGCGTCACTGAGCTGTCTCTGGAGCTCCTCTACTTTAGCTTTTGCTTCGTTCATCTGGTCTTCATACGAGCGGCACATTTTCTCAGAAGTGGCCTGTTTATCAAATATGTGTGTTAAAATGTTTTAATAAAACTTAAACTTTTAAACGTTTGTGCATACCTTGGCTTTGGACAGCTGCTCCACTGTGGAGGCCAGATCATCGACCTCCATCTTGGCCTCGCTGCGCTCCTTCTCCAGCTTCTGCTTGACTCTCTGGAGACTGTCCAATTGCTCGCTCAGCTCGGCCACACTATCCGCGTGTTTCTTCCTCAGGGCGGCGGTGGTGGCCTCGTGGTGCAGCATGGCTTCGTCCAGGTCCCGGCGCAGTTTCAGAAAGTCGGCCTCTCTCTTCTTGTTCATTTCAACCTGGACTGAGGTGGCCCCTCCAGCCTCCTCCAGCCGCTCACTCAGCTCCTCCAGCTCTCGGGCTACATCTCCACGCTGCTTCTCCACTTTGGCTCTGCAGGCCCGGTCAGCCTCCAGCTCCTCCTCCAGCTCCTCACTGCGCGCCTGTACAACCAGCATGTGTTCAGGGACCCCACCTCCTGCTGGGCTCCATGACAGATGTATACATTGGGTTCAACAGCTCTTACCAGCAGCTCCTTTATCTTCTTCTGCAGCTGGTTGACCACCACCTGCTCATCTTCAATTTTTCCACTCATCACATTGATCTCAAAGTCTTTTCTGAATAAAAACAACACATTATAACATGGGTGAGAAACCTTCCTTTGTTTGGAATTATAACATTATTGATTCTTGTCATTTGGACCACAATGCACAAGAGATCAACCAATATAAATTAAGATGTTTTTTTAAAAATATTGGCTATTAAATCAAACCCCTTCCAGCTATTGTGGCATTTTCTACCTAAAGTCCACACAACAAACTCTACACAATGATCCCAGAACATACTCATCCATCTTTACAGAGGTAATGAGGATGAGTAAAATATTACTAAATAGGTTTTGTATTTAATAATGTTGTATCCAGTTCTGTTTCAATCCAAGCCTAACTCTACTGATTCTGTTCAGAAATGATCAGAATGTTTATTTGTATCATTAATCAGCAGTTAAACTTTGAAGAAAAAACACCATCGACCATAGAAAACTCATCTTGGTCGATCTCTCCCACTGCTGGAAAGTGAAAGGTCAAATATATAAATGTTACTTTTTCAGCTTCTCTTCGAGTTGCTGCTTGTCGTTCTCCAGGTCCATGACGGACTCCAGAGACAGCTTCAGATCACCCTCCAGTTTGCGGCGAATCCGTTCAAGGTCTAAACGAATCTTCTTCTCTTGTTCCAGAGAACTCTCCAGCTGGTATGGAGCAAAGTTAACATTTTTTACTTCACAGGCTTACAGAAAAGAAGGGAGACCATTATTACAATTTTAGCATCTGCGCAGTGCCTTTTAGTTCATTTCAGAATTTATTTCAAAATGTTATTGTTGGTTTTCAAAGCTTTGAATAGGCCCCCTTCTCTGTGATCTTAAACCTGGAGGACCTTCTCTGTGGTCTTAAACCTGGAGGACCTTCTCTGTGGTCTTAAACCTGGAGGACCTTCTCTGTGGTCTTAAACCTGGTGCTACGTAAATGATGGATTTGAAAAAAAAATGAAAAAAAGCGACACACAAAGTAACCGTAGAACTCACATCATCCACTTGCTGCTCCAGCTTGGTCTTGGCCTTGGTCAGAGAGTTGACTTTGTCTTCCTCTGCCTGGAGGTCGTCCAGTGTCTGCTGATGGGCCTCCTGAAGAGCCTTCTTTTCCTTTGTTAGCTTTAGAATGGATTCATCCAGAGCTGCCATCTCTTCAATAAGGTTCTTCACCTACAAAGCAATAGCCGCCAACATTAACAAAAAGGGTCTTGTCGCACACACAGGCCCTAAACATGAGGAGTATTATAGTGAGCAATGAAAGACTGCAAACATCTACCAATGCCTGTTGGACGATTATTTGCTCCATACATGAAAAAACAGGTGCATCTGGGTCTGACCTTGTTCTCAGTGGCATGTTTCTCCTTCTCCACTTTGGCCAAGGTGATCTCCAGGTCGTCGATGTCCTTCTTGAGCTCAGCACACTCGTCCTCCAGTTTGCGCTTCTTGGCGAGTACGTTGGCATTCATCTCCTCCTCATCCTCCAGCCTCTCCATCAGCTCTTTCACTTTGGCCTCCAGCAGGATCTTGGTCTTGATGAGGAGGTCACATCGATCCTCTGCATCAGCCAGGTTGTCTTGCTCCTGTTACACACCAGGGGGCATCGATGTCACTGGGAGCTTCAGTGTGAACCATGGAAGTATGAACCTTAGCTTCACTACTGTCTAAATGTTTTTATTCTAGTTTTTTGTCTCGTTTTGTTGTTGATGAGAATAACATCTGTTTTTTTTTCATTTTTAAAGGAGACATTATGTAAATCAACTGAATGAGCCTTTTGCAATATTACTTTTTTTGTTTTTTCCACTCTATTATCAGAAACCTGACACAAACATACAAGGCTCACTCAACACTAAACTGTACTAATCTGTTATATTTGGGTCAATGACACAAAAAAGTCCCGAAATGTCTGCGGCCGCTCCTGCTGAATGTTTACAGCACCAACTCGTTTTATTCCAGCTTGTTTGCCCAGTGAAGGAGGCACTACACCCGTACTTTTAATAGCACTCCAGACGTAACAAGTGGACGCGATGTGTTACGTCTATAATGGCCAGTTTGTCTGCAGTTATGGAATAATAATTTTTTTGCATAATGTATAATCTATAATTACAGATTGATATGATAAACTTTACTGATCTCACAATGGAGAAATGTATTTATAGTTATATCCCCAAACATTGGTCATTAGTAATTAGTCTTCCCTGTCCTAAATGTGACATTTGAGTTAAATACATTTTTTATTCAAATGATTTTGAGCTGTCCATCTGAGATTATACAATGTATATTTAGAAAACTAAATAGTATTAAAGAATTATGAGGTACAAACATTTTTGGTTCTTTTATTTTATTGCCGCTTGAAGTAAGATTTGACGCATTGTACAGTTTAGCGTGGAATGATCCATAACTTTACCTTCTGTCTGAAATCTCAGATTCTTTGTCCTATAATGGTATTATGTAATTGTTTCACTATGACATCACACTCAGTTCTTCTGTCTTTTAAAGCATTACATATTTTCCATGAAATAGTTTTAGCAATTCATCAGGTGAAATGATGTTCATTACAATAGTATAGCCGTGCTCGCAGTCAGTAATTAATTGAGACTTCCTTCAAGATATTATTTCACACTATAAAACATTAAATTACAGTAATAAGTATAAATATAATTTGAATGGCAAAATATATAAAATATTTCAGATTATGTGAATAATATGACTTGATATAGTGACAGTGTGGGAGAAGAGGAAAGGGGCATACCGCCTGGAGCTGCAGGGACAGGTCGTTCTTCTCTTGGACCAGGCTGACCTGACGCTCCTCCAGCTCCTTCCTCTTCAGCTCGGACTTCTCCAGAGCCTCCTTCAGTTTGTTCAGCTCCTCCTTCAGAGAGGCCAGCTCTTTCTCTGTGGCGGCGCTCTTCAGCAGAGGCTTAATCTTAAAGAAGAGTTTCATCCAGGGCCAGTGTTTGACTGCGTTAAAGGCTCTAATGTTCCACTGAATGATCATCAAGGCCTCCCTGAGGAAAAACACAAACTCTAGATTAGACAAGTGTTTTAATTGAGCCAATTCATGAAAGCCGTCCATGGGAGTTAATCTCCTTCACTGTGGCTCTCTCTGAGGCGTCTCTTTTTCCTACTGGTTTATCTCATGTTTTTTCTTCTAAAACATAGTTTTAACTTGACCTAAAAATTCCATATGAACCATATACTCAAAGAACTATAATTTTATTTTCCAGAGCATTGTTGGCAAATTAACAATTCTGTGAAGTCGCTGCTGCTGAGACTTTGAGTGGTACAGTGAATATTGAGTAAACTTTTTGTTCTGCAGTCAATAAAAGCTTAATATTTTTGTCTCCATTGCATCATTGAAAAAATATAAAACGATATTGTGATCATAGGATAGAGCATTTGATTTTAACTTTTATTTGGGATCGACTCGGTGTTCTGCCTTGATCCTTTTGCGTAACTGGATGAGGTTGCAAAGGTCAGAAGAATTTATTCTGGACTTCCCCTGATATTTTCATCCGATCGTCCTTGCTCTTTTGATCTTTTGGCACAACAATCCCTGTGTTGCGTTTAACCACACACCCAAAGATAATTTATGCGTTCCCAAACTAGGAGCTCAATCTGTCGCCCTAAATATGGAAACTCAAGGACTTTGTGTCAGTGAATTTGAGGGGTAACCTTTGCGAGCGCGCACAAGGGCGGGGAGCTGCCTGCATTTCCCACATGTCTCCACACTGTGTGCCTCTCTTAGGTGAGCATGTGCATTTATTTAGAAACCAAAGCCTTGTGTCCAGCCGTGGTCTTTAATCCTCTGTCACCCGCCACATATCCCGCCAATGTAGCCGCTTAGAAGTGGAGGCGCCGCGGACAAAAGGGCCCGGGCCATGGGGAGTCCAGGGTGGGCGCGTGTATTTTTAGGATGGGCCTGATGCAGCAGCTGCCACTTGACACATGTCACCGCCTGGCTCTGAGGACACCATCCGCATTGTCTGCTTTAAACTGACGAGAATGGACTAAACCCACGGTGTGCCTTATTAACGGCGAGGCCGCACACCCCCGTGGACCGTAGATGGACACGCACACGCCACGCACACGCCGATAACGCGGCCCTGGTCATTCCTGGCATAACTGCGGCGGGGAATGAACACTGGGGAGTAGGGTTTCACACAGAAACGCGGACGGTTCTGTTGCTATTGAACCTGTCACAGCAAACAAAGCCAGTTCTTATATACGCATTCGCTTGTGGACTTAAGCAAGTTTATTTGTATGGCACAAATACATACTCAACAACTCAAAAGCATAAATAATCACGGTACACTACAAGATACAATCCCAAACAGAACTGAGTCTCACATTTTCAGGAAGAAAATTATGGACGCATGAATCTGAAACGCTGCCTCCCCATTTTTAGTCCTGACTCTGGGCACCAACAGCGTTCCAGTCCCTGTGCTCCTCAGAGTCTGAGTGGGTTCATAACTTCATATGGCACTAACATGTCACAAATGTACTTTGCTGTGAGGCCATGGAGAACCTTTTACACAAACAGAGCTGCTTTAAAGTCTATTCTCTGAGCCACAGGAAACCAGTGCAGAGACCTGAGAACCGGACTTATGTGATCGTACTAACTGGTACTACTCGTAAGGACTCGTAACTTTAAACCTGGGGTACCTAATATAATACATTGCGTTTGTCGCAAAAGAAAGAGTCTGTTAAAAGTAAAATATTATGATTAAATCTGACCACCACAAGTTGTCTTCCTCTGGTTTTAAACCTTTTCATCTTTTGCATAGGCTCCTTAAAGAACCTGGGAGTCACTATTTGACACTATGGGCTGAGGACTGATTGGTTGTACAAGGGCGGGCCTTTCTTTATCACCTTTTCGTCTGAATTCTTTTTATCTAAAGCTGTGACCGAGGCCAAAAATACAAGCATGTGAAAACTCATGATAGAACCAACCTGTTTTGAGAGAGAGAAAGTTGGATGGATCTCAATACATAGTTTAATATTTTGGGGGTGTGAAAGTTAAGTACCTCAGACTACCTTTCACATCATACTTTTTGATTCTTTTAGGATCATTTGACATTTTGCGAGAAGGAGAGAAAGCATGCAGACTTACTTCATCTCTGTCATCCTATGAAGTTCTAGTCTCATAATCTTTCCTCGAGCCACGGCCTGCAGCAGAGTCAAGCATTTGGCCAAACGCTGATCCCTGAGTTCTTCCAGTTGACCCAGCAGCCCTGCTTTAAAGAAGACCTGCAGCACAAAGTTGCATCTCCATGATCCCACATAGACTGACCGATGTCCTCTGTTCTCTCGATCTTACCTTTGTGTGTCCAAACCGGTACTGGTTGTGATCGATGTCTAATGATGCCAGAAGTTTCTCTGCCGCCTTCCTGCTGTCCACAAACGTATCGTCTGGGATGGCATGGGGGTTTAAGATGCGATAACTGAGGGAAATAAGTGAACAATAGCAATTACCCAAAGCAAAAATATTGTAAAATGGTCTTAAGGTCAAAGTAGAATCAACAGAGCACATAAGCCCCGTTTCCACCAGTCCTACTTGGCCCTACTCTACTCAGCTCTACTCTATCTGGTTGCGTTTCCATTACGCATTAGTATCTGGTACCGTTTCCTAGCAACCTACATACAACAAACCAGAATCCGGGGAAAGGCTGTGGTAAACCAGGCTTTCAGCAGCACTTAAGTCAATCACTATCAGATAGAACACTCAAGTACCAGCTCGGCCTGGATAGAACCAGGGCCAAAGGGACCAAAGAATACTGGTCACAGGGATTCTCCTGCTGTATTGTAATCGCACTCGTGGTCATTTCAATAATATAATTTATTGCTGTACATCACTGTATCACTGTTTTGTCATTACTTTTTCTTTGCATTTATCTGATTCTACCAATTCAAATGGTATAATTCCATATCTGTTTATATGTTCCATAGATGAGGTCTTACCGCTGTTTGAACTCAGCATAGAGAATGCGGTTAGGAAAGCCCTTCCGACAGATTCTGATACCCTCCAGCACACCGTTGCAGCGCAGCTGGTGGAGCACGATGAATGCGTCCATGATCCCTGGAATGGATCACATGGTTAACTGTGATCTGCCACAGAATGTACACTTACAGAATGTGAGGTGTTGTTACCCGGAGTCTTGGTCTCGTTCGGGATTATGCACCTGACGAAGTGAGGCTGTGTGCTTCTTAAGTTAGTCATCAGCTTGTTAAGGTTTTCCTGAAGATATAAAGAGAAAAGCAATTTGACAAATGTCAAAGGTCGTGGAAACAGGGCCACAATTTGCACACAAGGTTTATTTTTTTGGAGAATGTGTTGAATAAGATTATGAGCAAAGTGTCTCAGAAAACATTATGTGTCACATCAGACTGTGATGAATATGAATCAGTCCTTGCCTCAAGTCCCAGGCTCTGGAGTCCAAGTCAGGTTCAAGTTTACTAGTTTTATACAGATCGAAATGATGGCGCAATACAATTTACACTAACAAATTATTTTTTTTACAATCTAAATAAATAAGACAAATACGATGCGGTTGACTTAAATGATGAAAACTCATTACTCTGCCAGTCCATCTCTGGAGGTCCTCTATATGGAAAAGTTAGGTACCCCAACTTAAAAGTAGTGAGTTTAAGGTAAACTTAGCAATTTAGGCCTCAAACACAATGATTGATTTGACATTCTCAGATGAGACTGAGAAGAAGAGACACAGGAGCAGCATTGACTTTACATCTTCTCTTTATTGGTGGCGTATCCTTGGGACTAAGGCCCTAAAAATAGCTACTAAAGTCCAACTTGAGTTTGAATCTTTGAGTTCGTTACGCTGTTTTCTTTTTTTTTCTTGATATATGTAGACTCTTACCATTTACATATATTTTTTATCTTTATTTTTTGCTTTTTTCATATTTCAAAAAATATATACAGTATATAGATGGATGTTTTGACCTAAATAACAGATAATCCTCAATAAATGAAATATAAATGCATCATTAGTATCACGTATCGGCAGGCTATGAAAAATACCCAGCCATAGAGACCTCACTTTCAAACGATAACCAATCCATGAAATATTATCAGATTTCCGCACTTTTAGAATGCTCAAAATCTAGACCTTTTCTCTCTTTCCACAGTCAGTAACAAATGTCTTATTTCTGAGATAAATATAAAAAACTCAAGCTTTACTTTCATGCAAAAATACACACAAAGTCCACCAGCTCTAGGCGTTCACTGAAAGGAGACAGCACAGACTTAAAGTGATGTTCATGTGATCATTGCCCTAAACATCACTGCAAGTCTTAACGGTCTCCATCCCATTTATCCAGAGAGAAGGATCTTCTCTCTGGTCTTCCACCTGTGTCCATACGGTGCACCTTTCAGCTCACACCAGCAGAACTCACCTTGTGAAGCTGGGACACCGTCTGGAACGAGGACGCCTTCTTCCTCTTCTCCTTGGCCCCAGACTTGCCTTCACCTGTTGCTGTTTTTCAGTACATTCAGTTGCATCATTGAATATGTAATGATTCAGTGGAAACAAGTTTTGATCTTCTACCTGTGTCTGAGGCAATGAAGTTCTCGAACAGTGAGGCCAGCAACTTGTTGGCTGATTTCCGAAAGCATGCTACCACTGTCTCATTTAAGGGGTCTTTATTTTTATCGAGCCAGCCAGCAAGGTTATATGGAACCTGTGAATCCAGCATGATTGCATTCATGTAAATGTTACAATTATAATATTGTGGAAATGGAAAACTGTTTTCTCACCACGCCAGCATAATGCACCAGTTCAAAATGGGCTTCATATTTGCGTTTCTTGTCTGGTCTGGGCTTTTGGAAATTGGGAGACTTTCCATAGTGATTGTCGTACATTTTGGCTTTAAAGCTACTGTCTGTGGCCTTCGGAAACATGCACTCCTCTTCAAGGATGGACATGATTCCAAGAGGCTGAAAGTAAAATGGGCTGTTATAGTCCTATTTTTGAACCAGTCTGGGATATTTCATTTACACCATGTCTTACCTTTTCAATAAGATCAATACAAGCCTGGAGGTCAAGGCCAAAGTCTATGAAAGTCCACTCAATTCCCTCCCTCTTGTACTCTTCCTGCTCCAGAATAAACATGTGGTGGTTGAAAAACTGTTGCAATTTTTCATTTGTGAAGTTGATGCACAGCTGTTCAAAGCTGTTGAGCTATACACAGACAAAAAGGGTAAATATGAATATTATAATGAACACAGTGACAATAAATATCCCACTTACCTCAAATATCTCAAATCCAGCAATGTCCAGGACGCCTATGAAGAACTGTCGAGACAGTGACGTGTAGAGAGTGCGGTTAATACGTCCCACCAGCCACTTGAACATACGGTCATACGTGGCTTTAGCCAGAGCACCGACGGCAAACACCACCTACACAACAAGAGCAACACAAACCAGGCTCAGACTCCTGCAGTTTAGACCCACATCACACTTCATGTTCCTTATCTTCATTCAAGTTCAACAAGTAATAAGAGATCACTGTCAAAGTTGTTGCCCAGGATCTTGCCCAGGATGTTTTATTGGGTAAGTTTAGGGTTAAGTTTAAGGTTCATTAGAGAGGGTTTAGGGTTAAGGTTAGGGTTATGAGACTTTGATTGATTTAATCCAAAAGGGTCTAATCAAAACCAAACTGTGGAAAATCAACTTCATAACTGCTTTAACGTCTGGTTTTTCAAATAAATTGTGTTTGCTAACAACACAGATGATTATGACTCTGGCAGACAGCCCTTCTTACCTGTTCTACATTTTGTCCCTTCACAACATACTCGTTTCCCACCTTCACTCGAGGGTGTAGCAGACCCTTGATGAGATCAGCTGAGCTGACACCCATCAGGTATGAGGCCTTGTCTGCACCTGTCGCGCAAATCACACATAAATGCAAATGTAGCAGTTATTGACACATTCTACATCCACATGAATGGAAATGCCACATATCAGGCCAAAGAGTTTCCAAGCAGCTCGTACTTTCAGTGCCGTCGGTCTCCGCCTGCTCCTCACGCTGTTTTAGCTTGAACTTCATGTTGCCAAAATGCATAATGGCACCAACTATTTTATAGCAGCCATACTTCTCATCAGGCAGGAAACCCAGGATGTCCATGGCATGCTAAAATTAAAAGACGTATCATAAGTAGAGCATACTTTTAAAAGACCCAACAGCATATACTGTGATTATAGTCCTACATCAGTAGCCAAGAGCTCTTCCCCATCATTCATATTCTCCACAGTGGTCACTCCTTGGGAGCAGAAGTGGTAGTCATACGGGTTGGAGGACACCAGTAGCATGTCTGTAAATACAATGTATTAGGGTGAGTTGACAAAGTCAAAACTATGGCTGGACTGTGCACTGACCTAAGAGCTCAGGCCTCTTCTGAGACATGATCTGATAATAGATGTGGTAACTGCGCTCCTCAGGCTGCTGAAAGATCACTCTGGATTTTTCCAGAAGATCTGAATCATCACAGAAATAGTGAAAACATTGTAGTATTTAAAAGGAGGTTTTCAAAATGATCTCCTTAAACTCACATATGTCAATGTCAGAGGAGGCCAGTTTTCCAGACGGCCCAAAATGGATTCTGATAAACTTGCCCTATAGGAAAAAAGCAAACATTTGTATCCTCTAAAGATGGCTCCTGTTCCTAATAGAATTCAGATGAAAAAATGTCATAACCTGTGCTTACAAAGCGAGATGAGTTATCGTTCCTCAGGGTTTTGGCATTTCCAAATGCCTCCATCGCTGGGTTCGCCTCGATAATCTGGTCTTCCAGAGTGCCCTAATACAAAGAAGTTTCATGTCAGTAAATGGAATCATCAGTAAAGTAAAAGTAAATTACTATTTCCATAAATGTAACTTACCCCTAACCCATAGAATGTTAATAAATAAGAATACAAAACAAACAATGTTATAAATGTTAAAGTTGATGTAGAAAGTAAAATGACGTAAAAAGGCAGGAAAATGGGTGGAAAAAAATGAATGTCACGTCATAACACAAAATCATGTACAAAAACCAAAAGGGGAAAAATCACATGTTAATAGATATTTCATAAGAATTAAAAATAAGAACAGTAAAAAAGTGACAGGGGAAAAAAGGGAGAACTGTGGCTTGTGGCCGCAGCACCAGGGGAGGCTCAAACATGACTCATTCAGTATTGGGACAGAGACGGGAGAGCATGGACATGGTTTTAGGGGAACATGGTGTCTGAGATCAAAAATGAAAACAAAAATCAAATCAGAAAAGGCCAAAGCTTAAAAAGGGAATGGGAAACAAAAAGAAGTGGATGCCATTACGGCCTTACTCCTTTCTTAGCAGTTGTTTCCCCAAGAGCTGCCACAATGGCAAAATACTGAATGACACGTTTCGTGTTGACAGTTTTGCCAGCACCGGATTCTCCGCTAAAGTAGTGTGGATATAACATACAAAAAGCAAAACCCATCACAAAAAAGAAAAAAATATCTATATATACTTAAAGTTAAATTAAAGAATAAAGTTCATCAAACTAAAAAGTGTAATAGTTGGTGTTTTAAGACTGTATTTATGACTGTGTGGTTGATTTATATATTGTTGAAATATTTTGAAAAAGGAAAAGCATTCTCAGTACTTACGTGATAAGCATGGACTGGTTCTCTCGATCTGTTAAACAAAAAGCTGTGCTGAGTATGCTGCCAGGGGGTACTACAGTGTTGTAAACATTGTAAAACATTGTAAACAGACTGTAACACATGTGCTTGTTGACCAATATTTGCTACAATTTTAATTTTATAGTGACAATGCTTGACTCGCAGGACTGGTAATGTGAGGAAGGCTATAATTTCAGACATAATTGTAAGATATAACAGTGGTTTTCATGTTTGTAGGACACTTACTGCGCAGCATGTCATTGTAGGCGTTGTCTGCGATGGAGTAGATGTGCGGAGGCGCCTCGGAGCGCCTCTTGCCCTTGTACGCTGCCACCACCGGAGGAGCGTACACGGGCAGCCACTTGTACGGGTTTACAGTGACACAGAACAGGCCCGAGTACGTCTGACACAAACATACATTGGACCGTTATTATGTGTTTAATTGGCGGCTTCGTGAAAGATACAGAGGCTGCACAAACTCACATAAATCATCCAGGCCCCATAGCGCCTGCGCAGGTTGTAGAGCACCGAGGCCTCGTTGAGGTGAGTGAGCATGGCCATGTCCTCGATCATGTCGTACTTAGGAGGGTTCATCTGCTGGATGTCCGAGTCCTTCACGGTCAGCGTCTGAGGGACCAGAGCGCAGGTCAGCCGCATATCTGTGGACCAGCTGTAAATGTGAAGTTACCTTTCCGTCTTTAGTCTCCACAATGACATTATCACCACTCAGCTCTTTCACTTCTATCTCGATGTAGGCCTCCTTCTCATCCGGGATCCACGCGCGCTTTTTCCCTGCACACAAACTGCATTAGAGGATTCAGAAAGATTACAAAACCAACACTCCAAACCCTGCTGTGTTAATCCTCTATTCCCGGGTTGTATTTCATTTTCTAATTCACATTTATGCAGCATATTGTAATACAATGTAATACAGAAATACAATAAGACAACCCCGTTTATTTTACAAAACGTGAAACAACTAAAACGACAGATTATTAGAGAGCAAGTCAGCTATTTTATTAACCTATCATTGATATTTCCATGCAGTATAGTAATCAAGTAAACAGTTGGTTTGTCACCCAGCATTTAGTTTATTAGGTCTGTTTGTGCAATATTATTATTAAGCTATTGTTAAAATAATTTGTATTAGTATTTGTAAATCAGAATTTTAACTATAATTATTATAATGAGCATACATCCTTTTTAAAAAAAAATATTATCATAGGGATTTTCATCCTACCATCAAAGGTCAGTGTCTGCGCCGCCAGCTGCTCCAGGTCCGTTTTGCGCAGAAAGGGCCGAGCCTCCCCAAACTCATTCTGATCATAGCGGGACATGGTACCGGCTCCTCGCACAGTGGCTCACGGCGGACTGAAGATCGTGCTCTGGTAAGAAAAAAAATCAGCAATTCGTTCTGGATGGAAACTATTTAAGTTCACGTCACTTTTTCCACGTGTGATGAAAGAGTCAGCTGTACGAGATCTTCCACATGTCCCCAGTCAGTGTCACTCTACTTCTGTCCGTGAAAAGCTGCTGTAAGCCAAGTAAAACACCTACCCAAGTTTCCACTGACCCCCTGCCGCACAAGCAAACAACTGCCCCGTGATGAGGTCCCCTACTTTATACCCTGCGCCTCAAGGTCACGGTCAGTGGACATTTGTCTCTCATTAGCATATGCCACCTCCTCCAGCGCCCATTGGTGCTCCAACCCCTTCTCAATTCACACAAAAGGAAAGCTGCGTTTTTGTCATTGCTCTAAACCCTACACGGCTATTTTTGTATCCCACTTATTTTGTTCGGTGTAGTACAAGTGAGTGGGAGAGGGGCACTTAATAGAAGCATCATTGTATATTAATTCTCAAAAAATATCATATTCTGAACCTGTTTGAAATTGATATCATACATTTCACCTTTTGGGGACCTTTTGTCATAGCATTTGTGTTTATCCGTGAGGGAAATTTTAGAAGAGATTATTTCTGGAGCCATGCAGCATTAAGCACAGCTATTTATACACACGGCCTATTATATTAATAGAGATAAACGTGGCGCACATGATCCACACAATGGTCTATAAGAATAAGTGACAACTGTTTGCAAATCTATGCTTACAAAGAGCAGTATATACAGTTACTTTTATAATGGCTCAAGTAAACACCGCAATATTTACACATGAAATATATCTGTGGTTAAAGTTATCTGCACTAGGGGCCAGTTCTGGTCCTGTAGCTCCAGTAGATTGACCTTCAGAGAGAGGGGAGAGCAGAGCAGGGGAGGGGCCAGTTTCTCAGAATAGACAAAGCCAGAGTCCAGCATTCCTGATAAAAAAAATGACTATAGAGTTGTAAAAAAAAAACAGTGATAATTATCTTAAAGCAGAGCAGCATTACTATTGCAACAACACATCATCAGTAGGGTAAAACTAACCTGTCTCATGTGTAAGTGAAAACAAATATATGCTGCATTCTCTCAACTATTTACTGGATTAGAGTGTAGTCATGTTCATTTTAGTGCCCTGCTCTCACTTAAAGCTGAGGTACCTACTTTTCAAATCACTTTTTTTTTTTCAAGTTCCTTGATCTAAAGCTGCTTGGCCTCTGTCACACCTTTTGATCAGCTTTATCAAACAGAAAAGTGAAAACGAGAGGGCTGCCCTTATGCAGCCAATCAGCTCAAAGAGACAACTAGTGACCACAGCTCTTTCTTAGAAGTATGCAAAAGATATAATATTTTCCAGTAAGATGACAACAGCATGTTTTGGTCTGATTTGTTATCCATGAACCCAAAGTTAACAAAAGTGCTTCTTTTTAGGTCTTTTTTTCAGTCTAAATAAAATACTGGAGATGAAAGAGTACTTTCTGATTTTAAAAACACAAAACTGGCTTTCTTCTACATCTAATATTCCATTGTGAAAACAAAACACAAAGAAATGGTGACTGTTTCGAAAGAATGAGACAGGATATTGTCTTTCTAGATATATTGTCAGACCACGTTATGGGTATAATTTACTTAAAGCAAATCATGAATTCATTATTATTAAAACAAATTGAAGAAGTATGTGAATAGGCTTATAGTTTATAGTAGAAGCATGTGTCTGCCATGTTTGTTTGCTATCAGCGTGGACTGGGAGGTGTTGCGGTGATGCCTTTAACTTTCTTGGGCATCAGAGAGATAGGAGTGGGCCCATGCTATTCCGGGACAAGGAGCTCTTCAGAGTGGGCCAGTGGCTGCTTTATGTACGATGTCACTTGTTACACATTTGAAAAGCCGGCATGCTGATAACACATGAGGAGGAGATGAATCCCACAGTCCCTGGAGCTGCTGGCTTTAAATAAATGCACATAAACACACACGTGTAGCGGAGTGTTTGCTGTGGCGCGTCTCTCCGCACCGCCGCACTGCTGCTCGTGGCGACAGCTGACTTCTTCTAGAAACGTCTCTGCTTACGTCCCAAGTGTTTCGCAAAATCATTTAGCTTCAAATATGAAGCTGCCCATTAAGGATTCTGCCTGTACTATTAAACACCTATCCGTTTGAAAAGATAGCGGCTGGAGCGAGCTGAGGAAAGTTCAGAGGAAAGTTTGGTCCATCTAAAACTTGGAACAGTCTTCCTGAAATTGTGAGACAAGCTTTTATTCTGACAGCGATCAAGTTTAGCTGTGCATAAAACAGAAAAATTAAATCTGTTCTGCTTTCGTATGGATCTCTTAAATGTATGTTGTATAATTTTAAGAACTTGTGCTATACAAATTAACTTGCCTTGCCTTCATCTCCTGCTCAATGTGTAGAGGAGCTCAAGGGGATGTATTGTCCTCCCAGGAAGAAAGCCACATTTATTATTTACAGAATACCAGTGATTGCCACATCTTTGTCAGTCAGCCCTGTGGCATCTGTGGCTGTGGTATTTGTGTGATTCAGTGGTGGATATAGAGCCAGCTTACTCAGTCTCATCAAACTCCCTGTTTTCTCTTGTACTAAAGGACATTAAAGCAGCAGGAGTAGGGATAAAATGTATAAAGTGACGTTTTGCAATGTTCTTTACGTGTTGTGTAAGTATGTAGGTCTCATTGACTTGAAATATTCAGATTCAGATTCATTTTGTTTGCAATTTGTAGTAAAACTACCTTGGAATACATTTGCAAAAGTCCCCAGTGTGAATAAATAAAGTACATAAACAAGGTTAAAAGTACAAGAATGAAACAAACAAAAAAAAGTGCAGAAACAATTGACACAGGCAGGTAGCAATTTAAAGTGTATTCTAAATGACAAAAGGAATATCAGAATCTTAATACAAATATATTTTTTAAAGTCCAAAAGAGTCCAAGCTAAAGAGGACATATTCACAAAGTCAACATTCTAAAAAAGGATGTAGCTAAAATTGACAAATGAAACAAGAATTCTTTTTGGATCAAAGCATTCATGGCTTCTGGATATTTCTGTAATCACCTCGTGGACGCTCTCAATGCTTGCAGCAGCTGTAGGCTCAGGTCTTAGCTCTGGGTTCATCAGAGTGGAGACAAAGAGACGCATGTCAGTGACACTCTTGAAAGCCTCAATTACTCTTCCGCATGTGCACAGCCGCACACACATACTTGCAACACAGCGTGCACCTAATCAGTCTTTTAGTCGCTGGCTTTGATACTTTGCTATTAGCTGTGGCTCCAGACAATAGGGCCAGCTCATTGTTGTTGAGGTGTGGTGTAGTCAGTGGGCCTGGCTCGGCTGACTGGCCCTGCTCTCAGAATGTAAGGCAGCCCTCAGCTGTTCTTCTATTTCAGGAGCATGGAGGCATACCTCGACCCAGCTGGGCCATCAGAGACAATGGGTGGACAGCCTTATCCAAACACAGGCCTGCAGACAATCTGACGCACTCCAGGATCCCAGATAGAGCTCTGTGCCAGTGCTTCTGATGCTGCCTTCAGCTCATAAAGCAGTGGAACAGGTTAACAAGGCCACATCTACACTACAAGTCTGCACTGTGCCAATGTAAGTACCTGAAACATCAAACATCACAGATAAATCAACCCAGCCTGGTTGATGGACTGATGGGACTTGTAAATGACTTTTATGTGATGGCTGGTAATAATTGTCCGTTGCTGTAGTCTGTGCTTGACTGTAAATAGACTTGGATGGGAAACTATTGAGAGACCCTCATTTAGTGGTCAGGAGCATCTGAATGTCAAAGCAGAAATTTCTCTGGTAATTTACTCAATGTTGATGTGCTCTTGTTAAAGATGCCCGGTGTTGTAGGCAGCTATACTCAGCACTGTTCTTAATAGTAGTTTAGCCAGAGTTGCTGTCACAATGACAAGTATTCAAGAGGGGCGCGTGGCAGCTCTTTCACAGTTTACATAGGATCCAAGCCGTCGTATAGGCCCTTTATGCATTCACTCAAGGGCATACTGTAGTCCTCCACGAGCACCATCAGCACCTCTGCAGTGGACTGTCACCTGTTGTTCTGGGCAACTGCTGCAGCAGCACACAGAGACTAGGGATATGCTCAAATTAAGTTCAATTACTTGGTTGCCTGGCAGATTCACAGCATATTCACATTCAGGGCAAATGTCATGTGAAGAGAGGGGTTGGGCAGATGAATGCCAACAGTGTTGTAGTGTTGTATTATTTATGTACATGAGCTATGCTGAAGAGGATATTGAGTCCTAAGTCAGTGCGAAAATATCAGTTTGTTTTGAGGGATTTGACACATAAATCAAAAACGTATAAAACATAAGTAGTGAATCATTTTCATATTATGGGGTATTCTGAACTCCCACTGATGACTGCTGTCGTTGTGTCCTTGGGCAAGACACTTAACCCCACTTTGCCCAAAGCCCCCACTGAAAGATCAAGGCTATGCTCACACTCAGAGAGCAGCCGTCCTCCTGTGGACTCACCACCTGCAGAGGGTCAGTGAGGGGCTGGTGCTATGAGACTTGGGTGGCATCTCTGACTGCCACCCCCCTGACCCAGAAATGGATTAAAGGGTAGAAAATGGATGGATGGATGGGGTATTCTGAATATGTGACTGAGTTTAGGGGCCAGAGAAGCAGAATTGTTACAGCAACCTGGAGTCCCTTAAATGTTTCCCTTCATCTTAATCATGTTCTTATGTTATTTATTCCTGTTATTAATTTTTTAGTACTTTATTTTTCATAAAGTTTCAGGGCTCCGCTCTTTGTATTATTCACGTTATAAACATTTTTGACTGGCACTTAAAGGGCTAAGACAACGTCGGAAACCATAGCATTGAGCTGCAATGAATAATTGAAAATGAATTCAAACACAGACATTGTTCAATAGTTAGAATATAAAAAAACGGGAATTGTTTTGAAAAAATAAAGTAATTGAAGGTTGTCTTTGTATGGGAGTAAAATATGCTGGAAAACAGTATACACTTTTCACAATTCTGAATTATGTGTGACGCTTCACAAATTGAAGCACTATTAAATTCTGTGGTATGACAAAAAAATCACTCTCAGGTCAGAAGTTACAGCATGTTAGTTGTAGTTTGACAGGAAAACGTGAAGCCTGCTGTGAGATGCCAACAGCTGACACAATCAAGGCAACTGGGTTTAAATTCCTGTCTTCAAAATGACCATATCCACTGTGCTGGTCTCTGAGTGGACCCCAGGGAATATTTCTTGCAAATAGTATAGTTTATATATGCTGTACTAGTTTATTTAGTTTATATGTATTGAGAATGTTATGTAACATATAACTTTTTATATGTGGTTGGACACTTGTAATGTCCAGAGACTTGCTCTGTGGCACACGGCCTGTGGACACCTTGACTCCTTGTGGACTTTTGTGGACCGTGCCAACATTTAACAGCTAGTTGCAGCTATGCAGGGCCTGGGGCTTGGAGCAATGAGAAAGTGTAGAAGGAGCAGGTGAGGAGGTCCTGGGGGTGCACTCGTGCTCTTCAGACCTCTCTGAGACCAAACACACGGATCAGCGTGGCATCCAGAGAAGTGCTACTTCCCGGCAGCCGGCCAGCCCTTCAGACAGCTGCCAGCATGAGCCTCAGCCACATCTTGTCCCACATTGCATTTAGCACACAATACAACAGCGTGTCACCAATCTGCAGTCATCTCCTGATGGGACAGGCAGGAATAGTGTCAGCATCACACAGAGGTTCCACTCTGCAACTACCTGTGTGACCACTGCCAAAATGCAAGACCATGTTTGTGACCAACCAATAATGCTGGTCCAACAAATGGACACCCAGATCCTGGAAGAAGTGTCTCAATTAACTACCAATTTGAAACAGTATCAGGACAAAGAAGACTAATCTTGAGCTTTACTGATGGTGCCTTCAGATGCTCTGGAACATACAGTATGGTAAATGCCACTTGCCGAGTGGGAAACCGCACATGAACGGCCCCAAAAATGTACTACTGGAGAACTGTTTCCGAGATGAACAAAGCTTTGAACTACAAAATGGTGGACAGTGGCAGAAATACCACAGATGGTCAGAGTGTTGTTTTAGTTTACAAATGTTTAGTCATTTTATGTTTATAATAACTCATACGTGGTTTACAAGTAACTGTGACATCACTATTCACATCACAGCCGTTGTGATTTAGCACCATACAACAGCAAGTGTTTTATGGTAATAAATACAGGACTATTCAAATAACAGCTTATCAGTTTTATCCACAGTATGATAAGTTGCTGCTGCCGTTTAATTTTCCTTACAATAACAAATGAACAAATACATAATTAAAAGTTCAAAATTAAAATTATGTTGGACATGATATTGGAATAAAACAATGGAACATAATATCGTACATAGCATTCCAAATGAATGTAGGAGACAATACTAAAACTTATTTATGATACCTGAACCACATGAACACTGTACCCAACACTTCCCTCTGCTGACGTTAGTGTGTAATTACATGGCTCCTGAATCCTTATTTTCTCTGATTCTATTCAGAATGACAAAGCAGTGAAGAAATCACTATTTCACGAGGTAGAATCTTGCTTTAATTAATCAAACAGTAACCTGCTTAACACTCATACATAGGTACGTATACAGGTGAAACCGACTTAATATAGACTCTTTGAATGCAAAGTGACATGTTCCAAGCCTTTGTTTGTCATAATTTTTATAATTATGGTTTATAGTTAATCTGGGGGGTGATTTTATAGAATAAATATAATAATCAACATTATAATAAATTAAGGCTAGATATATTATACTTTACTGTACATTTCTGGACCAAGATTTCTGAGGTTGTTCCAGGGATCTGCTGTAACCACTCCTCCAGCTTCAGGGTCACTGCCCCGAGTGCACCATCACCACGGGCACTACTGTCACCTTTACCCTCCAGGCCCTCTCCAGCTCCTCTCTGAGCCCTTGGTTTTTCTCAAGCTTTTCGTGTTCTTTTTTCCTGATATTACCATTGCTTGTAATTGCCACGTCCACCACCACGGCTTTCTTCTGCCCTTTGTCCACCACCACTATGTCAGGTTGGTTCATTACCATTCGGTCGGTCTGTATCTGGAAGTCCCACAGGATCTTCGCACGCTCATTCTCCACCACCTTTGGAGGAGTTTCCCACTTAGACCTTGTGGTTTCCAGTCCATACTCTGCACAGATATTTCTGTAAACTATGCCAGCCACTTGGTTATGGCGTTCCATGTAGGCCTTCCTGGGCCTCTATCGCTCTGGTGCTCAGGGCCTGCTCCTGTGCAGCCATGATGAGTGCCTCTGTGCTGTCCTGTAGGCCAGCCCTTTCTGGTCAATTGACTTCTTGAGACCAGCACTTCTGCTATGCTCCGGTGGTACATGCCGTGTAGGGGCTTGTTCTCCCATGATGGGCTCTCCTCCAGCACCTCCTCATCTCGCCACTGCCTGAGACATTCACTGAGTACGTCATCCGTTTGGGTCTTCTCCATGATGTAGTTATGGAGTTTGTATGTTTCATCCTGGACAGTGGCTCTCACACTCACTAGTCCTCGGCCTCCTTTTTATTTTATTTATGGTTTTTGGGATGAAATCTGCCATTCATGAGGATATATTTATATTCATATACACGCACACACACACACACACACACACACACACACACACACACACACACACACACACACAGCACATTCGTAGACAATTGACAACGTATTAATACCATTATTAGTCAGCAGAGGGCCCACTTTCCTTGTGTTAGCTGCTTCAGAGCTTCCACAGCTCGGCCTGGGAGGTGGTTACACAAAGGGGCTGTTCTCACTGTGGTGCACCTTGCAGGCAGCTGGCTTCATGGAGCCATGAGGAACAGGGCAGCTTTTACACTTGACCACAGTAATGGCCCAGCATGTGCAGAGGCTAATTAAGCCTGCTCCACACTCCACCACTTGTGTTCCTCATACGACAGCTCATTTCACTCTAAAGTTAAAGCTGGAGTACCTAACTTTATTTCATGTAAATGATACATGATGTTTGTCCCAACAGAAAGAGTCTTAAGTTAAAAATCAAACCACAGCATGCTGTCTTCATCTCTTTAGACAACATGTCCTTTGTAAGAAAGAACCCCCTGAGCCACTATTTGATGCTTTGGGCAAAGAGCTGATTGGCTGATCAGAGGGTGGACCTCTCTTTTTCACATTTTTGTTTGAAAAAGCAGATCTAATGATGTGACAGAGGCCAATAACTACATCCTTGTGAAAACTAGTGAAATGAACGCGTTTGAGCCTGGAACAAGTTTGACGTTTTTAAAATTACATAATACACATGTTTGTGCTTTGAAAGATAGGTACCCCAGCTTTAACGCTCTTTCTTTCTGCTTTTCTCAATGACAGGAAGTGGCTATCTCATAGGAAGTGGAAGTAGGAGCGTCCCTTTCTCACTAGTACACACTCCTCAATAGTGGTCAGCTCTCTTGCCCATCCTGTCGTGGGACGCTGGGAAGCTCGGACGCCGGGACGCAGGAACACCCCCTCTCTCCTCCGGGCCACGGCTGCCTGCTAGTATTTTGGTAATCGTCATCCTCCCTGACCTGCTGGCCTGTTCCTGGCGCCAGGAGTCTCCATGCCTCCCCTCCGCCTCCCCACCACTGCACCCCCCCAAGCCCACCGATAATTTGGACCAGCTGTTGCAAGGTGCCTTTCCTTCTCCCACCCACGCTACACTTGCCTGGGACGCTGAATGAGGAGGCCCTTTGCATGGGGTCTGACTAGTGTCTAAAATATATCCAAGTCATTCATAAGACAGATAGGGCTGTGAAGAGTCATCATATTAATCACAATGAATCAATTTCTCCTATAATCCTCAACTAATTTAAAGCTGAGGTACCTAAAATTTCAAACCACAGCAAATGGAGCTATGTCATAAAATCCATCTTACTACCTGGCTTTCAAAATAGCTTGGTTTTTACTAGTTTTCACTTGCATTTATTATGTGCTCTGTAACAACTTTAGATCTAGTGTTTTCTGGCAGAAGGTGAAAGAGAGAGGACCATCCTCACTCAGCCAATCAATTCTCAGCCCAAAGCGCCAAATAATGACTAAGAGGGTTCTTTCTTACAATGTGTTTTCTAATATGATGAAGACAGCATGTTGTGGTGTAATTTGTTTACAGCATTTGATTTTTCATGAGACTTTTTCTGTTGGGACAAACGATTATTTATGAAACAAAAATGGTAGGTGCCATTGTTCTTGAAAAAAACATCAAATCATTATGTCCTCATGTGACTCAGCTTCATCTGGGTCAGATTTAATTTCAGCCTTTATTGGCGTTCAAATAATTGAATCGGAATAAAAAAATCTAAAATGATGAATGCATAAAATAGAAATTAATTGCATTGCTCAAGTTAGAATTAGTCGACTCACTAATAAACCAAGGAATTAACATAGAGATGATTCATATTATAATTTCAATCAACCACAGCATAAATGAGATTTCAAGCTGCAGTTTCGGTAGTGACTGGACCGCGCAAGTAATGTTTTGTGTTTATTGTATATCTTCAGTCGAGATCTTTTTGTGTGTGTTGCCTGCAGCTTAAGCAACAAGTTGTCTTTCACTGACCTAAATTTATCCTCCCACCCGCTCATTCTTAATTTCATGGAATGTGTGTCATGGCCAAGGAAGACAGAATTGAGTTTGTTGTCTCTATTGGAGTCACATGAAGAGCTGTGCATCTCTGCTCGATCAAGTGACTATGTGCAAAACAACTTTCAAATCCTCCGCTTTCTGGTCGTCTCAGTTCAACCTCACAGAGCACTTTGGTTTGTGTTTTTGGCATCTGGGGGCTCTGTGCAAAGTGAGGTGCCTGTCTGTCTCGGAGCTAACCGCACCGGGACGCTGGAGGGGAACCCCAAACGTTTGATCCGTAAGGCCCCCTGACTCCACTCACGAACAGCCCACAAAAAGAGCAAGGCCGAGCGTCAGCCTGTTGTAAAAGTTGTCCATTCTTTCTTTCAAACGTATGTACAATAGACAGAAATAAATAAGAAGTATACAACAAACACACACACACACTTGGACAGAACACAGGCTCAAACACTCTCTGACCCTACATCTCTCCCCGGTCACTCACTCTGCGTTGAGGGTTGTCCTCCTTGTGCTTTTTTGGTGTTGATTTTTGAACAGAATAATCGATATTTGAACCGATACAATACCTGTAACAGATAGTGGTGCTGATATCGAGATGTTAAAGTGCAGTGGTGGATCTGTGCCGAATATACTGTATACGCATACACTATGGCCAAATACAAAGGGAGCTGAAGGGGGTGGGGTGGTACAAAGAGCCTGCTCTGCTCAAACTATATGGAGCAAAATAGTTCATGCTGCACTGGGATTTCCTGCCTTTGCCCCGGCGAGCCTCGTCCTACCCCTGTCTACCCACCCATATACACTGTGGAGTATGGAAAGTACTTTGACAGTATTTCAACTGCAGACAGGTGAAGCCAGTTCAGTTTTTGAAAAGCATTCAAGAAGATAGATCTCAATCTCTTTCACCGTAATTCCATTTCCTTAGTTAAGATGTTTTGACGCCTGCGATGAAATGTGGCGTCTGCTTTTCGTGCTCTTTCTTAAATCTGGGGTTCCTAACTTTCCAAGCCAATATACATACATATTTTTTAAAGCATGATAAAGTCTATATAATTAATTCCTCGCTCTAAAAACAGTTTAAGTCTATCCCTAGTTTTCGCATGTAATTTTGGCCTCTGTCACATCATCTTTTTTGGACTGAAAATAGGGCTAAAGTTGTCTGATTACAGAATAATTATGTTTTTATATCTGTTATAAGACTGCAAAATGGGCCAAAACCAAGACCTTGTGGTTGGCTCCTGGCTGTGGCTGTAAAGTGCCAAACTGTTGTCGCGTTCTTAGGCAAGACACTTCACCCAAATTGCCAAGAGTGCGTCCGAATGATTGGTCGGAGGGGACGATGGCACATACTGGTTACCTCGCTTCCGTCAGTCTGCCCCAGGGCGGCTTTGGCTACAGTGGTGGTTTACAGTATCACTGCCGGGTATGGATTGAAAGAAATTCACCTTTGAGTGTCCAAAAAGTCCTATATAAAATTGATGTATCACTTTACAAGATGCAGAGGTTTAATATATATATATATATATATATATATATTTTTTTTTTATTTTGTTTATTTTTTTTTTTTTAAACATTTGCAATGTATACAGAATGGGACGTACTTAAAGCTGGGATACCTAACTTTTAAACCACAAAAAATGGTTCTCTGCAATAAAATCATGCTGTTTACACGAGGATGCTGTGACAGTAAAACATAGAGTTGGGAATCGTTTTGCCTTTCATTTACACAAAGACTGTGTTTCAGGGGGTTGAAAACGCAAGCGTACGTTGAGAAACAGCCTCCAGAGTGGAACAGAACAAATACGCTGCTTGGGGGGAGCCGTGTGAATTCTATGCCTGCTATGACCTCACCACTTATATTTGGACTTGCGTAGTAGCCAAGAACAAACTTAAACAACAATGGCGTTGGGTCAACTAATGCTACGTGTGCTTCGAGCGCTACACGGAGGAAAATTCTACTCTTTCTACTGCTGGGGGTCGCGTGTGTCATGTTGTAAAGTTCCAATGCCCACTGTCCACTGCCCACTACTGGCCAGGCGCTAGAACTACATTGTTGTGCAACAATAAGCTGGTTGTTTTTGCCAATTGCATCGTCTCCGCAGCGTCTCCGTCTAAACGGGGTCTAAGTCGAGTTCCTCAGTTCTGTCACTAGTTTTCTCATGAATGTATTTTTGGCCTTTGCCAGAGGAAAAAGTGGAAAAGTGCAGACCACCCTCACTCAGCCAATCAGCACTCTGCTGGGACAAAAACATTGATTGTTTATGAAAGTAAAAAAGTTTACCCTAACCCTGGCTTTAAACTGTTTGAAAATTTAGAAATAAATATAGACTGGACAGGTGCGTAGCCAAATGGCACCTTGCTTGGGACATGTCGACTAGGTGTCAAAGTGAAGATAGGTGTGGGGTGAGGAGATAGGTCGGTGCTGCTGTCCCTTGCGCTTCCAGTTCCAGGGCTTTGATCTGAGGTGCGACTGTCCATAGCTGGGGGGCATGTGGCACTCATTAGCAAAGTGGTGAGAGGTGCTGGTTGCCGCAGAGCGTAGTGGAATGAAAACCGTGCTAGGAAATGGCTGCTTCTACTGCCGCAAACTAATATATCATAAGGTACAACGTCAGTGCACTTGGGGGTGGAGATATTTATATTTTTGGAAAGGCGATTGTTTTTCCCCAAAGCAAATGTTCTATGATTGAGTCTATAATGAGCATCTGTGCTGCACTTTGCACACACTCTGCTAAACAGGAAGTAGAATAGACCAGCTCATTGAATAGGCCTTGCTGCCAGCACACAGTCTTGGGAGAGGAGGGAAATGGAAACCAGATGTCTGAGATCCACCGTGAATATGTCAAAGCTTCGGGACTATGTCAGTTCCTCCTCGTCTTATTGGCGGACCAAAGCACTTCTGCAGTGTCATCAGTATAATGTCCATGATACAAGTTCCCTCTGGTAATCCCATACAGTCCAGACCACAGCTACAACTTACAGCTCCAGAAATGAGCCTGTTCCAACTACATGTTTTTACTTTTCCTTAGGTTTCACGCTCGCTACATTCCTATAATTTCAGGGTAACTTCCCGTATCCTTAGGCTCATTCGGGTGGCAAATCTCTCAGCAAGTCTTTGTGGATAGATTGCTTTCTCTTGCTTGAGAAAATAACAAGGAATAGAGTAATGACTTAACAAGCAACAGGATAATGGCTTCAGCATGTGTTGGGTTGTGTGCATATGGCTGCGTGAGTACACTTCGCTTTCTTGTGTCTTAGCCCGTGAGTGTGCCTTTTGTTTGAGAGCACATCTTTTAAAATGCTGGAGCTGATAGACTCCTCCAGATCTTCGGCTCCTTTTGAGATCCAGGCAGTGCGTCACAGTGACAGGATAGGCCCGTGGGAGCGAGGGGTGTTTTCCATCAGAGCCAGCTGTTAGAAAGGCCTCCCACACCGAAGAAGACTGCTCATGTATCTCAGAGTTCGCACCTATGTTTATGCAGAAAGATGCATTTGAGTATAGACACAACGACAGCGACGGCAGTGATTGATGTGAATATGACAGCTGCCGCATGTGTGTACACGACTTTAGTGGCAGTTTACTTTCCCCTCGAAGTGTTTTGAAGCAGTGCATCTGTTCCGGGGTGAGCCCTAACCCTCTTTGATCTCAGCCCTGGAACAAATGGCAACGACTTGACACCTCAGTCATCAGCCCGTCCTGTTACCAACATGGCCGCTCACGCTGCTGAGACCATCAGGTCGTTGGGCTGCTCATGGGAAGTGACAAACAATGAAATCCATTGTGAGTCAGTGGTGGATCCTGTCAGTATAGTCTGGTTTACATCATGACCTGACCTGGCATGTTTGGCATTGCCTTAAAGAAGAAATATTAGCCATTATTTTTGGCCAAATAAACAAGACTATTTACTTTTTCATTTCATTGTCAAAGTAAATAGTCATTGTCATTTTGTAATGTGAAATAATATCCTAATTAGAAAATATTTGGTGAAACAAGTATCAATGATAAATAATGCTATAGCTTGCTTTATCCCTATGCTACCACCAGAGGGAGATGTAAAATTAGCTTTTTTCCAATTTTGAAAATTTCCAACCATAACCACTGCCATGTGATTTAAAAAAAAATGTAATTACTTCGGAAAATTTGCCAAAACTAGTTTATGAGCATTAGAAATAATTACATAGTATGATGGCATTGTAGTACAATGACGCCATACTATAACAGGACAGAGACAGGAACTTTCGGACAGAAGGGGCTGAGTTAGACATTCATAAAGTGTCCACATTACGTCTCCTTTAATTTGTAACTGCCTTTATGTGGACATGTCACAATCTCTAAAACTTGAGGAAATCATCTCGTTCCCATAGAGCTCCACCTGACACTGTTTACACACTGTTACACTCTGACATGTCCGGACAGGTGTCTACAAATCTGCATTACTTTCTTTCATAATGCTATTTTAAAGCCTGCGGCAGTAGCTCAACGTCCTGTTGCACCTTGTCTGGGAAAATATGCTCAGGTGCACTTCTATGTGGAAAGCAGGTGATCTCTCCCACTAAACACCTTGCAACAAGTGCTTTGGGATGAATGTTAATGCTTCGCTGTTATGAATATAGTTAAGAAAGTCATCAAAGTGTCATGAATACACTTCATCCACGCTTTTGACCATACAACTAAGAAGACATTTGTAATAATCATAATCAATCAGCTACTTTTCCACTGCTTTAGGATTAGTCCAAGATGCATTGCAGTTTCCACCCACAAAAGTCAATAATGATTTTTAATTTGATGGTAATATGCTCAAATATTATCATCTCTTTTTGCCATGAAAGATAGAAATTGTTATTAGACCAATAATTAACATTTGTACATTTATACAACTTTTGCACATATGCAGTAAGTAAGTTATTACCATTTTTGTTATTAAATAAAATAGATTATTATGTTTCCCAGAGAAAACCACCTTTAAAATAAGATTCCACATGCCTTGGCTGCATATTGGCTGGATGATAAGAAGTTAGGGCTTATATTTCAAGAAGTTTAATACTGATACTGATATGGTCGCTGTATTATAAATGATTCATTTCCTATCTCCTTCAAGTTGGGACAGTTTTGTTGTTTTGTATGTATTTATCCCTAATATAGTGAGATGCCACATAACGCTGGATCCTCACACTCTGAGAAGCTCTAGTTTCCTGTCAGGGCTGTGTTTTCCTTTCACAATTGGAGAAATGGAGGACAAGCTGTAGGCGCCATGTATCCATCCTTCCACTTCTCTTTCTTTTCTCTTTTCCTTTAACCCCCCCTTCCCCCCAACACACTCAAACACTGCATTCGCACTAGTTTTTCTCGCCGCTATAGAGTCCGCAGCCACACATGTCTCTGATCAAGCCCAGCCTGCGTCATCAGTTAGTAAACTCCAGGCTCCAGGAAAACCAACAGAGAGCACATTCATACGCAGCGACCCTGTGACTGTGTGTGTGATTCATTACTCTTTAATATGCCCCCTCCCCTTCCACCAATCCCACCCTCCTCCTCCAAAAAAAAACCTCACCCAACCACGTCCCCCATTACACCACAGAGCCTGATCAAATCCGTCATAGTGTTATCTTATTGTTTATACGACTTGCCTTCATGCAGTACAGAATTAGCTCTGCATTCTGACAGTAGACAATCGCTTTGCTCTGCCGCGATTGATTTTGTGTTGGAAAAGATCACAGAGCCAAGTTATACTGTTGTGTTCTCAATCAATTGCTGTAGGCTTGAAAGGTTCCTGTATAGTTGTTGACAGTGAACAATATGTGAAGTGATAATCTAAGCATATGTTTTTTTTTTACACCCAAAAATAGCATCACTTTGTTTAAAGCGACAGTACATAATTGTTATAATATGTGTCCCCCGCTAAAGATAGGTAAATATGTACAAATCATATTTGACATTTTCTGAATAAAAAATAAATAAAAATACTGTGCATATGATGTATGTTTGTAAAATGTATGTTTACAATTTCTCTTGTTTGGGTTGCAAGTTTGATTGGTGAAACGCAGGTAGTTTTTTCTCTATTTTCTTTCTGTTTACAAAATCTACAAATGTATTAACAAAAAATGGCAGCATAAAAAACATACATATGTAATTGAAAGCAGATACAAAAATAAGAAGTTGTAACACACAGTTTGTTGTACCATTTCTAGATAAACTCCAGCAGGTGGATTGCTTCAGTAATCAATTCTTAGGCGCGACATGTGTAAAAGGCAGGAAGATTCTGGCAACAAAAGTTGGTTTGTGATTGGAATTACTTTTGTTCATTCTAGTTCTGGGCAATTGAACAATATGTCAAGTAATAATCTGAAGTTTTTGGTTTCAGGAATAGAAGAGATCTTTTATTTATCCCACAGTGGAGAAATGTCGATGTTGCATCGCACATTTCAGACAGTAGAAATAAATCTATCTAGAAAAAGGTACATAACTTGTGTCACGCTACACCTTCCCTGACCACCATCTTTGCGAAGAGCTAACACTGTCGCCACGAGTTCCCATTTGAGGAAACTGGTTCTAGCTAGCTTATGTTCAAATCGGCACATTCGGAAAACATAATGGGTGACGTCAGCACGTCAGTCCACTCCTGAATCACGGTCATGGACTGAACCAAGACTTGATCACAAATACTATAATGAAGACTGTTAGTCGATGTATTATTATTCTTAATTCTATTCTGGGATCAGTGTTTTGAAAATAATGACAGATATTGCTGTTGTTGGGAAAAACGTATCTAGGGTAAGGGTTACTGACATGTGACAGAAGCCAAAAATACATCCATTTCAAAAGTAGTGATGGAACCAAACAGTTTTAGGAGTGAGGGTTTCAAAGTTAGGTACCCCAGCTTTAAGATGTGCTAATTTTGTTTGAGGAGGATGAGGTGAATGGATAGCGTGGTCTAGACTCTAGAGCAATGCTACTATTCTTACGTCCGAACCTCACTGTTTCCATTCCCACCTAGTATGTAGTCTCTGAACACAAGCCCACACCAGCAGAGTTATTTTTTACACGCCGTAGCCTCATTCTCCAAGTAACGCAGCCATAAGGTCACGCTGTATTTGGAGCGTCCCGATGCCGATAATCTGCTTGCTGTCAAGTGACTGCGATGTGTCTCTAGAGGAAGTAGTGACTTTCAGGTGGTAGTCACAAGTGCGGAAGGTCAAGGCTGATGTTTACTGATTCAAGCAGGTCACGGCTCTGAAGACCATTATGCCGTTATACAAACACGACGCTTTGGTAGAAGGGCTGTTTTTGTGTATTGGAAGTCTGACTTTAGCAGCTCGCCTTTTACAACACACCACTGTTATTTATTGTACCGTGCGGGCCAAGTGTTATGTTAGCATACAGGTGAAACTCTAGCATACAGTATACAAACTCAATACACGCAAAGTCAGATACGAGTAAGCCAAGATCATTAAAATGATAACAAACAAAGACTTTGCTGTATAAGTCTATATCATAAATTGGTTTCACATTTTAAGATGTATTAGTAATAGTAATACATTTGGAATAGGGTTCTAAACCTAAACGGTAGTTCAGTTTAGGTTCATGTCAGACTCATTTTGGCCCCCGGGCCTTGTGTTGGACACCTGGAGACGTTCCATCTCAACATAAGCACTTGAGTCAATTCCAGTTTACATGTGTGTGTAAGAAGCCCTATGTATTTGATGTTTGCCTGTGAATCTATTCTTGAGCTATGACTCTCACCCTCAGCTCCCTCTCACAAATAAAGAAAACAAATATTTGCAAAATAATTTGTTTGGCATCCATGAAACTCAGTATTTCCCAGGCAGCTCCATTGGATAAAGAGATAATTAGGATATTTAGATGATGATGTTTACCAGGGTGTGCTAGATGATGTATATGTGAACCTGCCAATTGAGTAAAAGCTCTTCTCATCCCGCAGTGGCCAGAGTTCATGTGCGAAAGTACTCATCGTCTGAGGCTGATGTGTCACGAGAGCAAAATGAGTGGTGTTTATGAGTCGCTGACAGCTTTTTCCTGTCTCACAGGCCATGAGCTCTCAGGGCTGTCCCGCTGAAGGACAGTCTTCCCGTGGCCACCCTGCTGCACTGGTACAAACTGCTGTGCAGAGGAGCCAGTTGTGGGACAGCTGACGGGGGGATGGGGAGATGGTGGCCAGAGTTAGGAGAGTTGAGCTCAGTTCTTTTGGGTGAAGTTGGCCAACGCAAACTCCCACTTCCTGTTGGCCTCGATTGAGGGAGATCATGGTCCTGTAAAGAAGGCCCTGCTCGCTGTTCTGTTGGGACAGTTTCCACTTTAAAAACTTCGAGAGGGAGCGAGAGACAGAGAGGGAGAGAGGGGAGCACAAACATACTGGGCTGCAGGAATGTTAAACACATGCTTTATGGCATAAATAGCAGCCACTTTTGGTAAATTACAGTGAGTGTTGCTACACTGTGCAGCTCAGCAGGAAAACGCTCTCAGATTTCACATCCAGGGCTCCACTTTCCTCAAGATACAAGAAAGCATGTTATGTTTTCATAAAAGTGGAAAGTGTACCTTCTATACTACACTACACCATCAGAAATGTTTAGTTCAGTGAGAAACAAATGAATGTCTTCAGACATGTACCATGCCAAAACAGAACCACACATTTGATTTATTTAGGGTCCATGGAGTAAGTATATTTGCTTGACTTTACTGCATAACATCAGGAAATGCTTCCAGCTGACATCATCAAAAAGTCCTGAGTTAACCTCTAACAGCTGAGTTTTTATGTGGCCTTTTCATCCCACAGCATCCTGGGTAAAGGGCATGAAATGCACTGGTCAAAAGGAACCACAGTGAAGGGCTGTGGCATCAGCCCTGCGTTTGCACTGCTCAGATGTTGGAGAACTCGGCTTGTAGTGTGCGGCTTTTTGCACTTTTTCCTGACTCAGAGGGAACTGTGGCGGGCTGTGGAACAGCTTACCTCACTCTGTTCAGCCCTCAGCCCACGCAGAGCTGCAGACATACTGTCGAGAGGCCCCATCTTCTGACTGAAAACAGAGCCAGTGGAGGAGCCATGAGGACCTCTATGAGCCAGGCCCTGACTCACTGTCGGCTCTGGAAAAGCCCAGTGATACATCTCCCCAGTGGACGACAGCACACGCAAATCACGGAAAATGCAGGCCAGGGACAAATATAAAACATAGAGGGCTGTAACTAGTTGATCGATTAATCTTAACTGATCTGGAAAATTTTCAACTAATTTCGTAATCATTTATTTTTTTAACCTTACATAGACATGCTGAGAAGAGATATTTTAAACAACCTAAACACGTCATCTCAATGTTCTCCAGAGGTGTCAATTGAGCTTGGTTTTTGTCAAATGAACATGTATTCCAATGTGTTTTTTTTACTGCAACTGGCAAATAAACTGAATCTGAATCTGAAATGTATAAAAAATCCGGATCACTTTTTGATCAATAAATAATTCAATATAAACAAATTGTTAACTAATTATTAATATCTAATTACATATTACAGAAGTGTAGTTTATTCTTATAGCAACAATACCTAAAGTTAATTTGGAAATTATTAGCTTTAAACCGAACTTTAACCTAAAAAATACTTAAACTTACTGCTTACGGAGACATATATTTTTTAATTAAAACATGAATGGAAGAAATATACATTCCAACTTTAAAATGATACAAATAAAACTCCCAACTCCACTTTTACAAACTATAAGCCGTAAGTTGTAGCAAGTGGAGAAAACAGAAGTGATGTGAGGCCCTAACGGTTGCAGCTCAGTATTTGCACAGTGACGTGAGATTCTTGCGACAGGTGCAAACTTAGAGCAGGTGCATCCAATGGTTCCTGTCCGTCACAAACCTCACAAACCTGACTAGTTCACTCATCAAGGCCAGCTAATCTTCAAAATAAATCCTGCCATTATCTCTCTGAGCCCGCTGCTGTTATTTAGTATTCTAACGTAAAGCTTTTACTAATACTGACCACAAATTAATAAACATAAATTACTTTATTGAATGAAAATGTATTGCATACAAGAAATACAAGTGAACACACAAGCAAAGTAGAAAATACAAATTTGAAAACATTGCACTGAAAAACACAAACATTTGGGAAAGATAAAAATTCATTCAGAGTTTTTCATTAAATATTAGAAAAACCATGGCTTCATATTGTAAACTTTACATAATCTTTGGTCCCAGCCTTTTTACATGTTCTACACAACCTAGTAATACTGCAATCATTGGGTGTCTCCTAAAGCCACAGTTTCCACCTGAGGCAAATGACACATTTTGGTTTTAAAAAGTTCACAATTTTATATATATATATTTTCAATGTACAATGATTTATCAAAATATGGCTTTGGCTGGTAGTATTATTATTAACACTGATGTAACCTTGAGTGCATGGCACGCGTTTACCACCCGCGTTCTTTGGAACAATAAAAACAAGGCACAACGGCTATTCCCATCTATCTCTAAAAGCCATCGGATTAAAGTAGGGTTTTTGGATGTAGTCAAAATAGTGGCTTAAAATGGTCCCATTGCAGAAACAAAAGATTTAATGGTGTCATTCACTGGAGATGACACATCTTTTCTTAAGCAAACCAATGGGAGTGGATGTCACCTGTTATTACCCAGCGAAGGTCAGGGCCGAAGCACCTGTTAGCACCTTGTCTATCTACAGCACCGTACCGGGACAGCTGTGTGTGCTCATGCTATTGTGTGCGGGGAGAAGACATGCTGAGAGATTGGCTTCACCCTTGCTGCCCTACCTCCACAGCTGGCTCTGGGACCTCCCGATTTGCCATTGGGTTTTAGATGGGAAAGTGCATCTTTGAGCTCAACACATTTTTGTCTTTGGAATGGGCACAACAACAGAAGACGCGTGAATTAGTGATTGTCAGGCAGCCATTCTCAGCTCAGTGTAGGTCTTTATGGCTTGTGAACTGATATATCCAAAAAGGAGGCTTGGGTTCCTCAAGGTCCCAAATAGCAGGCCAGTTCATGCTTAACTTCAATAGAGCTGTTGACACGGTGTCCTCACATGCCCAAGCTCTGAGTGTCCGCTGGGAGTTCTCATGCCATCGCGGAACAGCACCCAGAGGAGCTGTGCTTCTGTAGCAGTGACATGCGACTGAACGTACGGGAGCAGACTCCACACTGGTACTTCTTGACTTCGGCGTGTGTTTGGAGATGGGCACGCAGGTTGGAGCGGTCGGCAAAGGCCCGGTTACAGTGGGGGCAGGAGAAGGGCCGCTCACCTAGAACAAAGAGACAACACGTGTCACCTGACCAGACTGTCACAGACCTTCAAAAGCAGTGGCGAGGTGTCTCCAAAAGTTCACACCTCACAACACAGTGTGAATAGAATGTGAAAGCACATGGTCACACTGCTGTGAGTGTATTAGCATGATTCAATCAGAGCCAAATGAGATTAGCACACTAACAAGTTGCTGCAGGTTCTAAAGGCTCAGTGATAGCTCGTACCCCTCAGGCATTTGCATCTTTTGTCAAGCGAATGTCCCTGTCCTGTTGTCTGCTGCAGCTAATTAGCCAATTCCATTGATAATAACAACACAATGAGTGATCAATGACGAGATCACGGGGCAGTTGAGATAACCTATGTGGAGGCACCTGACTCCTCTTCTCTTCAGTTCAGAAGATGAAGCAACCTGCTGACTCGGGTTCATAACGTTGCACTGATTGACTCATGACTCAGCGGCTTCAATATCAATGGGCTGTATGTTCTGTCCGGACGTCAATATCGGCATCACATTAGTCGATAAACGTTTACCTTTTACCTCAGTGTAACAAGTTTCTTTGGCATAAGGAGGCTCTGCCAAGTGGATGCAGCTCTTTGCATACAAACGTAAACATGTGGTTATGGCGGCAGATATATAAAGTAAAGTATAGATAAAAATCAGAAGTAAAAGTATGTTGACGTCATTCTACTTGAGCAAGTAAACAAGTACATGCTTGTGTGTATGTTCTTAAAAGTTTGCTTCTAAACTTGTTTGAAAACAGACTCTTTCTAGCATGTTATACCTTGCCTAAGGACTACAATTGGGAAATAACTTATCAAATAAACGAATAAAATATAAGACGTATGTTGAAGTATTCATACACACAATATATGGCAACAACTGTAATGCTACTGGACTTAGAAGCGTTAATAATCACTTAAAAACTTTATAAATAAACCCAAAAGCACAACTAACCACTTCAAACCTATATTCATGAACTTAGAAGCATGGCTAATCACCTCAAACTTGAGACATTGGACATTGGTTTGTGTCTGTCATGTGTCTCTATATTGTGTCATCATCTGTTTTTAAAGTAAAGGACCCATTGTTTACATGTAAGGAGTGAGAGTACAGTTAGAAGTAAACATAGAAAGTTGTAAGACAGTAGTAGTTGTAAGCATTACCTGTATGTGTCCGGATGTGTCCTCTGAGGAGCCAGGGTCTGGAGAAGGCCTTCCCACAGGTAGTGCATACGCAGGGCAGTGTGTGGGAGCGAATATGCATTTTGAGAGCGCCCAGGCTGGTGTATTCCTTGGGACAGTGTTTACAGAGAAACGCTGGTCTGTTCGCTGTCACCGGTGCCCCTCTCTCCTCCTCTTCCTCAGGGGGACTGCTGTGTGCCAGAACACCAGTGCACTTCATCCTCTGTCTGGGGGCATACGTGTGGACGGGCTCCGGGCTGGGGGGGTCTGACGAGCGGCCCTCGTCCTCCTCACCGCTGCTGCTGGCTCCACTGCTGAGGCTGGCTGGGGAGCTGAGGTCCAGGGGTAGAGTGGTGACAGAGGCCTCAGTCTGTGTGGGGAGGTACAAGGTGGACAGGACGCTCAGATCCCACACCAGACCCCCACTGAAACAGGTGGAAACAGAAGTGTCTCCTGATGAGAGCTCAGCAACAGGATATCTGTCCAGTGAAGTGTCTGAAATCAAAAGTGGGGGCTATTATTAGACATAAGCCAACAACACAATAGACTACATTATTTAGAACATTCCCTTTAGATTGAATACAAGCACCTTCACCAGCATTTGTGCGTGTAGACTTCATGCATCTCAAAACTTTTTTCCCTCTATAAAGTTTCATGGGTCATTTCCTCCCACGTATTCACAACAGTATGTAACATGAATAGAGCTCTGTGTGCGCTGTGCATAGGGAAGGTCCATCTAACGGGCCCTGCTTGACCACAGAACTCTGGAAGACTCAGATTTTAACCTAATGCATTTTTTCCGAACAGAAAAACCATCCAACTCAAAACACAAACCAGTGCGTTGCCTGGGGACGCGCGCGCACAAGCATGTAAAAAACAGCATTTAAGTACTCACCATTCTGATATTCAAGTTCACTGTAGTTTGGCTTTTGTTTCGCGAAATATTTCTTCACCAGGAATGATCGAGGCATCGTCCTTTTCGAGGTTTAACAGCTGCGCGTAAAAGTGTATTCTCGCTCACGACGCGCGTGTGGCGAGCAGGTAAAAGTTGCGCAAATCTTGTGAAAAATATCCCCGTTATCCCTGAGTTGGAGAGAAGTTGAACAGACAAGTGGGTGTGAGGCTTCCATGCACAGTGACTAAATGCTTGTCTCTGTTCTGTGCCTTTCACGGGCGCTAGGGGTGTGCTCGCCTCAGGGCCCTCCCCGCATCATCAGCCCGAGCGCACGGAGCCCTTTTCACGAGGTCATTAGCGGACAGAATGAGTGACCGCAAGATGCTGTTTGGTGCCAATGCGTAATCATAGATAATAATAATGATAATAATGATCTTGGCACGGGAAATCTTAAGTATGGCTAGTTTCTAAAATATATACATCGTACAACAAGTATCTTACGACTTCAATCTTTTAGTTAAAGACTTTAGCCAAAGGAAAATGTGTCCTCTTGTCTCTCATTACCCATCACCTGTGGTGCACCTTGCCTCAACTCATTTCTAAAGGAACGGCGACATCTGGTGGATGACTGGAGTACTCTTGGCCACATTCAAGTTATATTCACGTGCATGTATTGTTTGGACTCTGACACAGCTAATTCAGACAGAAAAGTGAAACAGGAGGATCACCCTCTCATTAAACTTGAGCCCAAAGAGGGAAATAGTTTAGCCTCAGCCTGTTTCTGTTACTAAGGCTACAATTGGATTTTAAAAAATGAGACGAGTATGCAAAGTAATGTAGGCAAACATGTTACTCCGTCTCTTGCAACCAGTGTTGGGCACGTTACTTTGAAAAAGTAATTAGTTATAGTTACTAGTTACGTCTCCCAAAAAGTAACTGAGTTACTAACGGAGTTACTCCACTATAAAAGTAACTAGTTACCAGTAAAAGTAACTATTGCGTTACTTTTTCGTTTTGTTCTGGAACATAATGTGCACCCGACGTGCGCATTTTTACCTTTAACAGTGCCAATATTTCCATCTAGAAAAGGCTGTTTTTCTGCTGAAGTCCTGTTCACTCTTCATCTCTCTCTGTGCTGTAAGCACTAAACACCAACACCCGCCACTGTGAATGTGGAAACACCGGTGACGAGCGGTGAGGCTGGTGAAGCACTGACTTCAGTCCAATCAGATGAACATATCATTTTTATAAATCAAGTGGACAATTTGTTTGGCAGGCATTTCACATGAGGCAGCAGTCACCTCTTGTTCATCATAGTTTCCAACAAAAAAATAAAAAATAAGTAAAGCATTGCTAGCATGCATGAAAATAAAATAAAAAAATAAACCAAAATATTTGCCTGAAAGGGAGTAGGAAGAAGAAAACTTATTTAATCCTACCCCCATAATATGTATACAACAAAAATGTGCTTCTTTGCGAGACAGGGCTATCAACAACTTTCGACTTCTGCACTATATTAACACAGAAAGGTTTGAGTATTCACATTGTGGAGTTACCATAGTAACGCATCAGAGTTACATATGACAACAGTAATACAGGACTACAATGGTAACTACAGAGACTACACAATGGTAAGAGACAATACAGCAATGGTAGAGACATACAGCAATGGTAAGAGACAATACCAGCAATGGTAACAGACATCATGACCAGCAATGGTAACAGAACAGCAATGGTAAGAGACAATACAAGCAATCGTAAGGGACAATACCAGCAATGGTAAGCGACAATACCAGCAATGGTAACAGACAATACCAGCAATGGTAAGAGACAAAACCAGCAATGGTAAGGAATGACAAATACATGACACAAACACAATACAGAAGTACAGAACAATTAAGACCCACTCTCTATATATTGTGACCAGACCAGATGTTTTATAAAAGTTTGAATCTGTGAATATTTTGGCATTGCTTGTGGTGTGCATCCAGACTGTTCCATAGTTTCACACCTCGTACAGATACACAAAAGCTTTTACGAGTAGTTCGAATTTTTAGGTAGTGTGAAGTCTCCAAATCCTCTCAGATTATGGGCTTTTTCCCAAATTGAGAAAAGGTGTTGTAGATTAATAGGTAATGATTTGTTAAAAGCTTTATATAGGATTATAGTTGTATTGTATTTTACAAGATCATTACATTTTAGTAACTTAGACTGGATAAACAATTCATGAGTGTGATCTAGAAACCCAACTTTGTGAATTATACGCACTGCTCGTTTCTGCAAACAAGACTAATGGGTTTATAGTGTTCTGGTACGTGTTTCCCCACACTTCAACACAATAGTTAAAGTATGGGAGAACCAACGTACAGTATAATGTACGGAGTAAATTGAGATCGAGGTACAGTTTTACTTTATTTAGAATTGAAAGGCTTTTGGAGATTTTAGTTTTTATGTATCTGACGTGAGGTTTCCAGGACAATTTATTGTCGATTATAATTCCCAAGAATTTATTTTCATTCACATTTTCAATTTCGATACCGTCGATAAAGATTTTTGTGTCTGAATTAAATCTTAGGCTGCCAAACATCATTGATTTAGTTTTTTCTATATTGAGGGATAGTTTGTTCATGTCCATCCACTTTTTAATTATATTCAGTTCCTTGTTCACAGTATTCACCATTTCATCGTAATCATTGCTACAGTAAATATATATTTGTGTCATCTGCAAAAAGAATAAGTTTTAATACTCGAGATACATAAAAAATGTCATTTATATACACATTAAATAATTTGGGTCCTAGCACGGACCCCTGGGGCACACCACAAGCAATGCCAAGTTCTCCAGATATGTAATGCCCCATTTTAACAAACTGTATCCTTCCAGTCAAGTAACTTTTCAGCCAATCCCCAGCTACCCCACAAATTCCATAATTCTCTATCTTTCTGAGTAGAATCGAGTGATTAATAGTATCAAAGGCTTTTTTGAGATCTATAAAGATACCCACTGCAAACTTTTTATGATCAAATGCATTTGTGATTTCCTCAATTGCTTCCATTATTGCCATTGATGTGGTTCTTTTGGCTCTGAAACCATATTGACCTTCATGTATTATCTGGTGTTTCTCAAGAAACTTTTCAAGCCGAGAGTTAAAAAGCTTTTCAAGAATTTTTGAAAATTGGGGCAATAAAGAGATTGGTCTATAGTTTGTGTAACTGTGTTTATTATTATTTTTGAAGAGTGGTACCACTTTTGCAATTTTCATTTTTTGTGGAAAACAACCAGACTGGAAGGATAAGTTGCAGATATAAGTTAGTGGTTTTACAATATTGAACACGACCTTCTTAACTACCATCATGCTGATATCATGACAGTCAGTAGATGTCTTGCTTTTACATTTTGAAACAATGCTAATTATCTCCAGCTCATCTGTAGCAGATAAGAAAAAAGACTGCGGATTCTGATTGATTGTTGAAAAACATTCCTCAGTTCTATAGTCTGGAATTCCAGCAGCTAACTCAGGCCCTACATTAACAAAAAAATTATTAAATTGATTAACTATATCATTCATATTGTAGTTGTCTCCATTATTGTCAGTGAAGTAATCAGGATATGACGACTTTGATGATCCTTGTTTGATTAAACTATTCAGTGTATCCCAAGTTCCTCTTATATTGTTTGTATTTTCATATATCTTTTGTTTATAATACAACTGTTTGCTACTTCTTATGATGTCAGTTAATTTATTCCGGTAAGTCTTATATATTTGTTCCGCCTCTTTTGTTTTTACTTTGATGAACGATTTATAGAGATTATTTTTCTTTTTACAAGCATTTAGTATTCCTTTTGTAAGCCAAGGGCTTTGTTTGTGTTTTTTCTTTAAATAGTGTTGTTGAACAGGACAGTATTTGTTGTACAAGGAGAGGAATAAGTCGAGGAAGTTACCATAAGCAACATCCACATTTTGTTCGTTATAAACTGTATTCCAATCCTGGTCTGCTAGACTGTTGTTCAGATCATTTATTGTTTCTTCATTTATTATTTGTTTTGAGATTGTTTCTACATGGTCTTTGGTTCTCTTAATATCGTAGTCATACAAAGCAAAAACAGGCAAGTGGTCAGTAATGTCACAGATAAATAAGCCACTGATAATTTGACTCTCGATAATGTTAGTAAGGATGTTATCAATAATTGTAGCGCTATGTGAAGTTATTCTGCTAGGTTTGGTTATGGTTGGAAACAGAGACAATCTATACATTGTATCAATAAAGTCATCAATATGTTTTTGTTTGGTTGGATTTAATAGATCTATGTTAAAATCTCCACAAACAAAGATATTTTTTTGATTTATCTCAGAGAACATTTTTTCCATCCACTCATTGAAAAGGTCGATGCTTGAACCAGGTGCTCTATACACACAACTCACAATAACATTTTTCTTTCTCTCATTATGTATTTCTATTGTCAAACACTCCATTACTCCATCAATTACCAATGTCATATTTGTTAGGATATTATATTTGAGGGATTTGTGTACGTATAAGGCTACTCCACCGCCTGATTTATTTTCTCTATTCATATATTTTAGTTCATAGCCTTCAAGACAGAAATCTATGGGAAGTCCCTGGGAAGTCTCACTGCCTGGCCTGGCCTGGCCTGGCCTGCATTAATGCCTCACCAGATGACCTTAGACATCGGACATGGAGTGGCATTAAATTCTATGTCAAAAATAGATTCACTGCAATTCGAAAAAAAAAATCAAAAATAAAATTCCTTTAAAAGAGTTGTTTGTTTTCTATTGACTGTTTTGTATTACTTAAAGTAGTCCCAGTAAAAAAGATTATGTCTATGGGTCCCATTCTGAACGGCCCTGTCAAAGGGACCCACCAGGTAACAAAAACGTGTATGTGTGTGTCTGTAGAGTGAGTGTGTGTGTTTGTGTAGAGTATGTGTGTGTGTTTGTATAGAGTATGTGTGTGTGTTTGTATAGAGTATGTGTGTGTGTTTGTATAGAGTATGTGTGTGTTTGTATAGAGTATGTGTGTGTAGAGCAGGGGTCGGCAACGTTTGTGACATGG